CTAAGTCCCAACGTGCCAATGTTGCGGTCATGCAGCCCTGCCTCTCCCCACATCCGCACACGTTGTACCTTCCGTAGTTTCATGAGCCCGTAGGCGCACACGAAGGCGGTAAAGACGAAACAGGCGCCGGAGACGGTGGCGAAGCCTAGGTCTGATTCTTCTATGAAGTTTTTCAGGTTCATGCCGTAGAGGGCAGAGCAAAGGGTGCCAGCTGCGAGGCCAAGAGTGCCGATGCTGAATTTGAGATCGAGGAGCATGAGGGAGTTGCGGTTGGCGTCGAGGATTGCTTTTACACTAGGGAGATGAATGATGTTAGTTTCTTGATGTTAGTTTCTTTTCCTTCTGATAGAGACAAGAACGAGTTCGTAGTTTGAGTCATAGAGGACTGAGGGAAGTGGGTGGGATTGAAGTCATACATTTCCTCCGTGTTTCGAATATTGGTGACCAGATTCCCACTGGCTTGTACGATTTCATCGCAGACTTTGTGATACGATTCGAGCAACATCTCAATTTCCTGATGGTCAACCTCCTGCCTATGCACGCCATTCGCTTTCTCCGTCAGATACATTGAGGTTAAGTCATCGTCGGCTTCAAGCAGATCCTCAATCGCATCGCGCACCAATCTAGCTTTCTGCTCGAACGTGCCCAATCTCTTGGAATAGATCAGGAGGTGCCGCAACTTGTCTCTGTCTATATCCTCTTCCAGTGCCCGAAGAACGCGCACTACAGGTTCCCTTACCCCTTCAAACTCAGCTTCAAGTCCACTGGTCACGCTGACCAGAACGGCTTCAAGGGCACGGAATTCATAGGGCAGAGCGCCCGGTGAGGATTGGCGGCCTGTCACCTCTTTCTGACGTAGTTTACCTTCTAGATCATACATAAATACCGACTGCGTGTAGGAATCCGTCGAGCCGTAGGCGTCGAATACCAAAACTCGATCTGCTTTTATCAGGACGCGTAGATGCAGAAGGCTGATTAAAATAGCGCTGTGGCGCACGAGAATATGCGGAAGGACTGAGGAGTCGATCTTGCGAAGATCACGGGGAAGAAGACCATACTGCATCCATTAACAGCGAGCGACGTTAGATCATGCACTTACAACCTCAAAAAGTAATAAAACAAATAAAACAAAATAAAATCCATACCTTAGCAATCAGCTCACTTTTCTTAAACTCCCCATTAACAAGAGTCACGTTCCCATTTTCATCCAGCTCCGTACATCTCAGCCGCGGCTCATTCGTCGCTTTCATCGCTAATGAACGCCCCGTAGCAAACATGTTCCCCTCGTGCCCATCCTCCATCACAGGGCCAATGGGCAAATCGCTTGGACGCAATTTGTTGGGATCATCACGCTCCGATACTCGTAGTCCAAACAGGCGCCGGATGAATCCCCGGCCCCGGCCTTTTCTCCCCGCTGTACCGCTGAAGAGTTGTAGATTGCCATATCCTCCACGCCTGTTCAGGCTCTTTAGCGCTGTGCGCGGAGTTGCTACTAATGCGGGAATCGTGGACGGTGATGTCGATATGGATGACGGATCATCTTCTAAATTGCGCGTCCGCGCGCTGAGGAAGGGGAAGAGAGATGCTTCGAGGGTTGCGGTGCGGCGCTGATGTTGGTTGGGATGCTGTTGTTGCGCATTTGGGTGGATGTCATGCTCTTCATATGACCATGATGGAAACGCAGCATGTGCATATCCCCTTTGGGATTGGGGTCGGGATCGGAGACGCCATGGGCATGCTGGCGGAAGTGAGTGCGGGCGTGTAATCGGAGTGGTGTTGGGGGAAAAGTAATAGTGGGTGGACACCTCGGACTGCGAGCGGAGGAAGCGGAGCAGATTTGCTGATGGAGCTGATGGCTTGAGGGTAGATGGGGACACCATCTCTTACCCTCATATGGGATGCTTCTTTTCTGAAAACAAAGTAATAACAGATAGAACACTTGCTCTATTCTGTCTTTGTTTTTGTTTGTTGAGGAATGATCAAGTTGCTCCCAACGTCGAGGTAGGTTTGTTAATTTTTTGCCGGCCCCTAGCGGAATAACTATTTATCCGCCGAGGTTGTTCTTCGCGGAGAGGGTTCTTGAGCGGTTAATTTAATCGATGGGAAGAGCTAAGTAAGATTTTAAAACCCAAATTCAATTCGCCTGTATATGGAATGGCCTTCCCCCAATTAAACACGAACACTACCGCATAAGATACAGCAAAGAGGAGCACGCAAAAGGGTACCAAACGATCAACGTCTCAGACAGACGCTTTTTACAGTAGTGTATGCCATTACGAACAGCTGAATATAAAAAAAAAAAAAAAAAAAAAAAAAAAAAAAAGGGAAAAGTGACAGCAAATGGATCCACGAATATAACCATGATGGCTCAAACCAAGACCAAAACCAATACCAAAACTAACCTCACCACTCGTCATCTGATTTTTCATCATCTGCCATAATGTCAGTTTCCTGCTAGGTCCATCAGGCGTGGGGAGGTAGAATTGAATTCAAATAGAAAATGATACAAGCAAAGAGACGTAGATACATACCACTTCCGCTGACTTTCTGCTTCCGCTTATTCAACGCCGCCTGTAAAGACCCTAGCATTGAATTCGGTTCTCCGGGCCCAGCTCCACCTGATGCTGGTGACGACGGTGTCTCGCTACTTGCACCGGGAACGGCGGCTGCGCTTCGATCTCGCTTCTCGGTGTCTTTGACCTTTCGAAGGCCTGTTCCTGCACGGATTGAGGCTAGAAGATCGTCTTTCCCCGGTGCTGGTTTTGGAAGGGATGGTGCGGTTGATGACGATGGTGGAGGGGGAGGGGCAGGAGGTGCGCCGTTGGCTGCGGGGCCTGGTGGCGGTGGTGGTGGGGGAGGAGGAGGGCTACCAACAGATGGAGGAGGGGGTGGGCGAGCAACTCCAGCCGGCGGAGGCGGTGGTGGGGGCGGAGCAACGGTTGAAGGCGCGGGACGGGGCGGAGGGCGAGGAAGACTACCGGTTGAAGGTGGAGGCGGGGGCGGGCCAGTACTAACTGGAGGTGGGGGTGGAGGTGGTGCGGGGCTCGATGATGGTGCTGGTGCCGGAGGCGGAGGCGGAGGAGTCGGTGGTGCGGGAGCCGAGATGGGTGGTGGTAGTTGACGTCCCGGGACAGAGACTGGAGCTGGTGGTGGCGGTGGTTGTGATGACTGGGGAGTTGAACTTGGAGAAGCTTGAGTACGTGGTGGGGGGGGAGGAGGAGGCCCAGGGGCAAGCCCGGGTGCAGGAGTAACATGAGGAATCTTGGGTGGTAAGGCGGGTGTTAATCCAGGACTAACTTCACGCCGCGGTGGGAGACCTGGGGTTCGACTGGGTAGTTGGGGGGCTGAGACCTTTCGCTCTCCCTCTATAGGAGTTTTCGGTGGCAGTGGTGGGGGTTGAGCTCCCGGTCTGGCTAGATTAGAACCTGATGCAGTTCTATTCCGGCCCGGGAGAGCATTGGCAAATTTGCCGGCATCCGCGATGGGAGGGGGCGCTTTGAAGCGTGGCCGAACTGGTGATGGCTCCCGCGGCGGAGATGGAGATGGTGGAGGGGGCTCACGCGCAGGTGGTGGTGAAGGAGGACGGCCGCGTCGTGACGGCGGTGGACGTGGAGGAGCATTTCTCCTTCCCGTATTCTGGGGGCTGAGGGGCGGTATCGATGCTGTTGGCGGGGGTGGGGCATTTGGCGGCGGAGGAGGTGGCGGGGCTTTTGCTCTCTTTTGGGAATCTGGTGGAGTTTCCTTAGATGCACCATTAAGCTCATCGGCTTGCTTCTGCTCAATGTATTGTTTGATAAAATCCGAGTTCTCCGCGATTTGATCCTCCGTAATACCCATGGCAAGTAATTCGTCGAGCAAGCCTCTCCATGACGGATCTACCGTGTCTAAGGCTGACGTCTGCTTCCGTTCTGGGGCTGATGGGAGTTCTGTTGCTGCCGGGGAGAGAGCGGGAGCTGGAGCGGGCTGCCTTGGGGGGATAATAGATTCCGCAGGAGCAGGTGGGGCATGGGCGGAGGAGTGTCGGTGGACATGTAGGAGGCTACCAAGCCCAAACCGACTATGGCCTTTGTTGCTTGCTACTGGTGCGGGTCCTTGGCCCCGGAGTGACGCAAATGGTGTAGTTTTCGTTTCTTTACTCGCGCTCTTCTCTCGTTCTAGTACCTTTTTCATGAAGGTCTTTGCCTCCTTCTCATCCGCAAACGATAACCCTGCGAGACATTCCTCTAGCTCGAAAGTGTGAAAAAAGGTCCTGTCTTGGTTATACGAGAACCCATCGTAGATTTCCTGGTCCCATACAACTCCTCTACCAGCGGGCTATTTTTCGGAGATATGCCATGTTAGTTTGGGTTTGCTGTACGCGAGGGGAGGTAAGGATATATCTAAGCAGAATATTGCATTGCATACCGAAACATCAACCAACTTAATCCAAAACGTATGTCCAACCAAGTCGTTGGCAAGAACTGCAGCTCCTTGCAACCCGGTATATGTCCATTTGTGAGGGTTTGGATGTGCTACGTATAACCGCGCAACTGCCACAGCCAGTATCTTGTTGGAGGGTTTTGGAACGGTTCGCCTGACCGTCTCCTTATCCGCATCGGTGAGAATGGATGGCATGGTTGGAGCTCCAAGGCTGGTATTTGCGGACAGGGAGAAGACGACGTTAGTCTCATTAGTTATATTTGACAGCCAAGTGGCTCATTGCTAATCTGAATCCCTTCAGCAGGCAGCTGAGCGCGAACACAACGTACTACTGACTGGCGTTCGAATGGCAGTAGGCGAAAATATCTCTCCGCGGAATACCGTCTAGGATATGGTGGTTAAGAGAAGTAACACACAGGGTGTATTTTCGAGTTATATATATGTAGAAGAATGGAAGAATGGATGGATGGAGTTGTGTGTTTCGATCAGGGTTGGTCGGATCCGGGAACGAAGAAAGGCGAGGTTGCGAAGCTTAGTCAGGGAACGCCGCGCCAAGCCCTGTACAGCCTTTGTTGGATTAGGAAGCCCGTCCGTATGGAAATATAATATTAATATTGTACTATTGCGCAGCACAAGAGTCGAACGTGTAGATGTCTACTCCGTACTGAAGCCGATAGAGTGTATTTAGCATCCCTTTGTATGAGAAAGCTAACTACTTAAAGTATATGCTGCTTTTGGCAACTGAACAACACACAAAGAAGCCCAGAAATGGTACTATTTTCTTGACACTTCTGATTAGTTACAAATGGCTATTACCTGCTATATATAATATAAGTATAAACAGATTAATATCTACCAAGATAGGTGAATGGGATGAGGTCAATTCTCATAGGTGGCTCTTGCTCGATTATACCCTTGGCTGTTTTGGTGATGTCATCAGCGCCAGGTGGTATGAATGAATCATTCCCCCTGCCGTAGCGTAGCACCTCGTGCCCGACTTCTAAGCACATCCACCACATCTACCTATTTCGTTTCTCAAAATCCAAGTTAGTAATTTATCCAGCAATAGGCTTAAGTAAAGCCAACACAATCTTCCTAAAAATACAATTTTGCGTCTCCAGCAATATCTGCCACCCCTCGACCTATACCCGTCACACCCATCCCATCCCATCCCAATCCGATCTGGAAACATGGCTGGCCGATCTAGTCAAGATTTCCAAGCCGGAAAAACTGGCACGACCACGCGCCAAACACGAAGCCAGACACAGAAGAACGCCAACTCTACAGCGGGTGGTGAGCAGTTGAGGCCTGAGGCCCGGGACTTCATAACTAAGGGCCCGCAGATTCCGGAAGGTTAGTCTAATATCAAAGAGAATTCACCCAAGATATTTCGTCCATAATTGGCAGTTGATGTTGACTTTTTGAGGGCGTTTGTAGGAGACATGCCGGCAAGAGCCCCACGGGAAGAAATCGATGCTCGAATGAAGGAGCTCAATAAGTGAGGTTGGATTTCCGTGTAGGAGAAAGCTTCTTTTGGGTTCCTCTGATGCGGGGTATGGGACTGAGGGGGAGTTTGATGATGGCACATTTGTATTGTGGATTACTGCGGAACTCTGCTCCAGGAGGGATCATATGTGGCGATGTGGTGAAGATGCTAGTCTTACATGCCTAGCTGACCGTCGTACTAGCTACTGCGAGTATCCAGGGCAAAATGGATCAGGCATATAGTGTAGCCTCGAATAAAATTCCCATGGGGTTGCTAGTTACCTATTGTTTACCGTCTAGGTAAAGTAAGTGCCCGAATAAATTAGATCCAGAGGGCTTTCCTATGGCCTTATTGTGCTGTGCAAAAGATGCTGGAACCAACAACGACGTGCCGAGTCCACCCTCTTTTACCCTAGGAACTTAGGTAGACACGCCATTGTTACTAGGCCAAAGAGCGTCTGAAGAATTCTCCACGTCATTTTCCTCCCGCTCGCCTACCCGTTTGAGGTAGGTTTCAATCCTTTCAATGACGACCCCAGCCTCCCGCACAATATCCGTATATTTCGCAGCTTTGACAGCAAGCCGGAAGTGAATTTCCAAAGTCCCTTCCAAGGCTTCTAGCCGAGACGGCGGCTGCCCAGCTTGCTGCCTCGGTTGCGGTTTCTGCTGCTCCCGCTGCTCAATATCCGGTATTCTTCGCCCTGTCTTGTCATATCCACGCTCCCTCAACGCGTCTCTAAATGCAGTCCGCACCCGTCTGGCGCACCACGACCGTATAACGCTCTTCTCCGATGCGATATCAGATTGGGCCGAAGCGGACCACCAAAGCTGGCGCTTGTCCCGTGTCGCCCACATATAGTCGATCTTGGGCCGGAGGGCATATAGATTGATGAAGAGATCACAGGAAAACTTCTTCGCGCGCGACGTAGGTATGTTTTGAGGCGTGTAACGGACTGTGAAATAGGGCTGTTTGGGGGCGACGAATCTTGGGGGTCTGAAACCGTAGTAACGGTTCTTGTTAAATATATTGCTTGCGCCCCGTGAAGCCATTCTGTAAAATTTCCAATTATGTGTTTGTTTTAAAAATGCAGAGCTTGGAACGGGCGAGAAGATGGGGATTGCCTTGGTACATGTGTGTTCTAACAAATCCACCGGCACGGAAAGTACTCCTGAAAAGTTTTTAAGGTGCGCGTTGAGGCTGCCAAATCGGGTATAGTTACGGTTTGGAGTGGCGATCCAGCCAGCAGAAACAGAAAAATCCCCCACTATATAAGAGCCGAAATTGACAACACCATCTGACAACATCATCACTACAACCCCCAACGTTTTCTCTCCAGCAATCCGAGTACATATCATTACATATAAAATCCGGGAAATCGTTACACTTTCAGTCAGGAACAGTTTAACAACAGTTCAATATGCCGAAGAATAAGGGAAAGGTACGATTTCTACCCCTCTTTACAAACCCCCACATTGCCACACATATCGCTTGAGTACCATCTGCGCCTTCACTTGAGGACGTGGGGAAATTTCTTCTGAAGAAATGTATTCTTTTGAAAAAGCGTCCTTGCTGGTTCGGTTCTATGAAACTAGGACGCTAACATCCCGTTTTGTATACAGGGTGGTAAAAACCGACGCCGTGGAAAGAACGAGAATGACAACGAGAAGCGAGAACTGACCTTCAAAGAGGAAGGACAAGAATATGCTCAGGTCGTCAAGATGTTGGGTAACGGACGACTGGAAGCCCTCTGCTTCGATGGCGAAAAACGACTCGCTCATATCCGTGGCAAACTCCGCAAGAAGGTCTGGATTAACCAAGGAGACATCATTCTTCTATCTCTACGAGATTACCAAGACGAGAAGGGTGACGTTATTCTCAAATACAATGCCGATGAGGCTCGAAGTCTAAAAGCCTACGGCGAGTTGCCTGAGAGTGCGAAGATTAACGAGACTGATACGTACGTTTTGCCTCCACTTTCAGCCGTTTTTAATGTTGATATATATGTCGCTAATATCGTAACAACAGCTATGGCCATGAGGATATTGACGACAACGTCGAGTTCGACGAAGACCGTGATGGCAGCGAAGACGACAAGGACATCGATGTTGATGAGATCTAATCTCTCCCAAAAAATCTACCCTGATCCGACGAGGCCGCGTTCCCTCTCTATGCATGTGTCTGGCTTCAACAGTCCCAAGGTGGACGGTTCTCTATCCTTTGACGTTGCAGACAGCTCCTGTTGGAAACACTCCCGCTGCACTATAGCCACTGTTACGTTGTAGGCAAACATTCAGCGCCCCCCCAGCGCTCCTCATCTCCAGGGATAGAAATCGGGCATCTTCGGCTGAAGAATTTCCGGTCAGATATTGCTATCGACTATCTTAAGAATCCATATACCTATAAAGCAAGGTTCGAGCCGATCATCGGACGGGACACCAGACAGGGCGAGTATGGGCACTATCAACCACAAGTCAGTCCAATTGTTTTATTCGCGGATTATTCTTTTTCCGAACTTCTCCCCGCCTTACTCTTCCTCTTTAACGCGGCTTACGATTGGACCGGCTTCATTTTAAATTAATTTCACCCTCATGGTTATGAAAGACTTTTGCTTTTACTTACTGGCATGCCTCCGTTATTGCGTTTTCGCTTCTGTTTTTCTTCTGTTTTCCGTTTCTGCTTTTTGCACTTCTTGCCCTACTTTTTTTCCGTTGTGGTGGCTCTTGCGACATTCCCAATTTGGCAGTTTGAAAGCATAGATAAACCGAAAGCAAAAATGAAGTAATGAAAGACAAAATTTAGGGTCGGCTAGAAAGGCGTAAATGAATTTTTTTCCTAATCCGTTGGTTCATGATATAGTATTGATATGGGCTATATTTGGAAGCGGCCCATCGCCAACCTTATACAATTCCAAACGAAGACATGATACGATCTGTAGTGCACTTTAACTAAACCTAAGTGACTTCTACCTCGGCATTATAGCTAGTCGTATGTGGGAAAGCAAGAAATCGCCCACGCACCTAATCAGCACTCTCCTCATCAAAAACGTTTCTCCGAAAGAACCGCAAAACCTGCCTCCCAACCTCCTTCCCAACCAGCGGCTCCAACTCCTCCATCTCCATATTCGCAATTTGCTGTAAATTCTCCGTCTCCAAAATCAACCGCTCCGCTAGCTTCGGCGTCACCCCGGGAACAGCCTGTAACATATCCTGCGGTAGCTGGTTGAAGGCCCGATGCTCAATCCCCGCGGCTGACATGATACTGTTACCCGTACCTGCTGCGGTGGCAGCCGCGGCGGCAGCTGTAGAGGACGTGATATCAAAGTCTAGCCCGATTTGCACGGCGCGAATGGGGTCTGGTTCTGCATTGTTCTTCTTCAGCTCGGCGAATATCTCTGCTGTTTGAAACGGGGCGGAGGACCAGATGATTTTCAGCCGTGGGAAGGCGAGCGTGAGTAGTGTGAGGAGGTGCTGGATGGACTTTGGATTTGTGGGGTTTATCAGGTTGCTGGATAGGCTTTCTGAGCTTGGCGTGCTTGTGGCGGAGGTGAATGCGTCAAAAGTGAATGATTTGTTCTGGTCAAATTCGATTAGCAGTACTGGGGTTTTGTAGTGCTGGAGCATTGTCTCCGCCTGATTGTACAGGCGGCCGTTTTTCAGGGAGCTGAGCAAATCACGGATCGATTTGCGCTCGACACAAATCTCCGGGGTCAAGATGTAGTCGCCAACTGTTAGTTGGCAGGGAACTACGACCATGCTTCGTCCGTGGAGGAGGGATGGGAGCGCGCTGCGAAATTCACGCACATCCACTACGACGGTGGGTGGGGCTGCTGTTGCGGCCAGTCGGCCTCCACCAGCGATGCGGGTATTGACTGTTCGAAGAAATTGCTCTTGGGGATCTTCGGCGCTTTTGTCGTGGTTTATTGTTAGGGACATGGACTGCGCAAGAACTTTGCATTTAGTTCACTTAGAAATATTATCATGTAGAGCGCAAGGTGCATACATACCCCCTTTTCTTTGATCAGTTTTGTGAACGCGTCCTTTTCCTTTCGGACAGCACTTAGATATCGCTGTTCCTCGACCGAACCTCCATAATATAGAAAGTAAACCCTGACTTCCCGGTTCGTGTGAGAGCTTCGATAGACTTCTACTCTGCGAATGAAGGCTGCGTCCGGTTCGTACATGATTATGTACCGTGGTTTGACTTCTTCAAGAACATGGTCATCCATATCGCCGTCGTAAGGGTATACCATCAAGAGATCGTTCATGTCATAGAGTTGGTAGTAGTCTTCCATATCTTCAAGATCGTCATCCACGATGCCAACCTCGATGGTTTCTTCTTCCGGCTCAACAAGTTTAATTTCTTCCAGCAGGGTTGATACCTGCGTTGGCACTTCCGTATCAAGTTGGACACTACTGCTTGCACCTCTGGCTGGTGCCAGACCTGAGCCACCGCCTCCACGAACTCGTCGTCTTTTATTCGGAGGTGCTCGTCCTTGATACTGAGTGGTTGAACCCACGGAATTGTACCCTGGCGCTGTTCCTGGTTCCTGTTTTGATTTAGTATGATAAAGGTTGCTGTTAATCCTGGACGAAGCGCGTTTCCAGTTTAAATAGTGACGGAGTTTCCTCCGAAGCATAAACTCTGCAGACGGCTTGTCGTCATCTGCCTCACTCTCGCTCTCCATCTCGTCATTAGAGGGTTCGATTTTGATGCGCATTGTTTCTAAATATTCCCTGATTTGGCAGCAGGTTTTCCTGTCACTACACATGACTAGAATGGTTCCATTCGAGTCACCCGGGAGAACAGGATTGAGATATGTACTCCTCTCAATTTCATCTAGAACATCCGCGAGGACTGACCATTTCGGCTGTTCCTCGAGCACTGGTTCCAAGGCAGTTGGTAGGGAGGCAGTGTCAGGTATAAATTGCCGATTGTCCAATTTGCCGCGATAAACCCTGGACTTGGCGGTTTGAAATAGGACATGCGCTGCATCAAGAAATAGCCAAGGGGAGTAATTCTGCCTTGTTGATCCCGGAGGTGGCGAGTGAGCAGCTATAATCGTGTCAAGGTATTTGATAAAGGAGACGGAGTCGTACGTCAATAACGAACTGTGGAGTGTATTAGCTCACCTGCCATATCTCTAGATGAAATGTTGGTCGCCGAGACTTACTGAAGTATCGACCTCAGGACAGTTAAATCGTTGGCTATTTGCTTTGTCCGAAAGCTTACACGATGCCACATATGCTCCAGCTGTCGCCGGATAGACACATCAAAGTCTTGATGCAACGCACTGTCCACTGTCCAGTCTTCAATGTCGAGGCCAGAATTTGACTTTTTCAGTTCCCGAATATTGGCTTCGACACATTCTAAGACTGCGTTTTGTATATCTCTCATTTTGTCTGTCATCGGTATTTCTAGCTCGATGACTTCAGCTTTCTTCCGCCCTTCTAAGGACTCAGCTACGGTAACCTGGAACCTCGGCCAGAGAGACGGTTTCCTAAGAAATAGATTCCGCATCATGTTTGCTAAGGGGTTGAATCCAATTGTGAAAGGTTCGGGAGAATCAGAGAAAGCTTTTAAACAACCAACTTTGTTGAATTGTCGATATATGCGGATAATAAATGCCTCCAACGAGGTGGCCGTGATCCTGGAACAGACTTAATATGATAGGCTAAAACTAGTAGCGACCAGGACTTACTTTTCAGCATGGAGAACAATTAAGCCCGTGATGGTTTCGGGATCAAGTATCTCTGTTGTTTCTATTAGTAAACCCTCCAATTATATGCCGGAGGGCCACTCAACTGGACAATAAATCGACAACCAATATCCGAGAGGTGACACTCAGGATACCGCCTTGGGCGTACATTTTTTGCCTTATACTATGTCAGGTAATGAAAACAATAGCTCTTAAAGCCAGAGAAAAGCATACCTCAAAGGAACAGTAGCTCGATCAGTATTGATCACTTTAAGCCCTCGAGCCAGGGGAGTTCTGCTGACTGCATATTGTTCGGCGAGAGCTGCAATAGCGAATGAGTAAAATGGTTCTGTCAAAATATCCCGAGGCTACACACCTTCTCCAATCCATTCATTTTCTAGACTACCAGCGCCCACCACTATGATTAGATTATTGCCGGCTGCATCGTAAGAATGTAATAAATTCGTCACGATACGCAGCAGGCCAAGTCCCCTTGCAAGAATGACGAGTTCATCCTCAGCTCTGAGTTCCGAGAACAGGTCTTGCTGATATTGCTAGACAAGCTTGTCAGATCTGAATGATTCACGCCTCACAGACGTGCGATGCGCTTACCAGTGGTAGTGATAGTTTCACTACTGAATTCGCGTGTTCTCCCGACATAAGGATAGGCTCTGCCTGTTGCAAGCACCTTGCGACCCCCAATCGACAAAGATCAAGGGGACATGTGGCCACGTGATTTAAGAATACCGTGACGAGAGTTTTGGATCATTATAATGTATGGGTGTGAGAGGCATCCGCTGAGCTTAATATTCCTTACGTCCAAGCGGCTGCCAAACCTCTGTATTGTTTCGTTGACTGGTAGGGAGATGATGAAGCCAGGCACCCTTTGGAGGATTGATAAAGGCCAAAAGGAGGCGCGATTCTTGCCTCCATAAGCATGATGTGTCCAGGTGTTAAAGCAGCGGCAGACGCGTCCTTTCCGGGAAGATGTAACTAAATTCTGACGTAATCGACTTCATCTAGACAGCTTCATGAAACACTAATTTACCGGCCCTCGAAATCTCAGCTTGTGATATCTTGCGACAATCAGATTTTCGAATGCTGTTCGCCATATAACACTCTTGTCGCTTCTTCTGTCATCTTCACTCGTTCGTCATGCTGGTTTCTCTGACCGTTGGGAAGGTCGATGCTGGCGTTGCTGTCCTCCTGACCCAAGACAACCGACTCGTAAGCTCTAACCCAGCCCTTTTTTTTGCAAGTACTCCAAGGCGCTGCTGTCGTGTGCGCCTCTTTATTTCTGCCTGCCACTGCGCAATGAACGCTTTGCTTATCATTGTTGACTCTAGATCGAGTTTCCTTCTGTCCTTCTACCGAAAAATATAGCATCAGGCAGCATCGTTGATATTACAGTATCGCGCAACCAGGCCGCTGAAGCTGCAAGTGTTTCCGCCTTTCAATCCCTCCAAAAGCGTATCCTACACACCTATGGCATCCATACGCCGTCTCCACCGGTTCTCCGCCTCAGAAATGCGACACAAACGTCCCTTGTCCTAGAATGGGATCCAATAAATTTAGCCACCGCGTCCCTCAAGTCGCTATCCTTATACCGCAATGACTCCAAGGCTGGTTCAATTCCAAGGCCAAAAGAGATGCTTAGCACCAAAATCAGCGGCCTTGCAATTGACACAGATTATACTTTCCATCTCGTTCTCCGTACTTCCGCCGGCACTTTTAGCTCAGAGAAACTAGTCTGCCGTACACATAAGATGACCGACTTGTCAGGAATAACTATTACACCGGGCGTTCTACCCCAGAGTTTAAGGACGTCGCTCGAAGAGGCTGTGGATCGAATTGGTGCCAAACTCATTGACACTGTGCGGATAGATACTACGCATTTTGTCTGCACGGAGGGTAGTGGTGCTGCTTGGGAAAAAGCAGTTGAGATGAATATTCCTGTCGTCCGACCAGAGTGGGTAGAAGGATGTGAGCGGGAGGGTACAATTGTTAGTGTCCGCGGGTACTACTTGAACGCAGATCCAAAGTTGAGGCAAATGGCTCCAGGTGTGGGTGCGCAACTGCATCGCCAGCAAGCTATGTTAAACAACGCCTCCGGGTCCGTTTCATCCGGACGATTAGGCCGCACAAATTCAACTTCCCGATCGCCACAGCAGCCAGCCGACAAGGAGCTCCCTCCCATGCCGCCCCCTAGTAGTGAAGCGAATGGACCATCTCAGGGACAAGAATCGGAGACTGAGGATGAAAATGGTTACGGAACCCAGTCTTCACCGCCGCCGCCGGCTAAAGACGGAAAAGAGAATGCCCAACCCAGCCAAGAGGACGCGGAATCGCCTGTCGACGGAAAATATCCACCTCCTGCACATGGCGACACGGAGGCCGACTATGAAAGTGATACAGCAGGTTCCTCAAATCAGGAATTAGCAGATAAAACAAACTCTCAATCGCAACGAAAATCGGATACCTCAATCGGGGCCTCGGGTGACAAAGCAACGAACGGGGCGGCGGGAGAAGGTGAACTGGATGAGGTTCCTCTCTGAGATTTCAAGGAGAAGTGCATAAAACAAGTTTGCCTTCTAGACTTTATTTTATTTCATTTATCTGTTTCCCCCCCCCCCCCTGTTGCCGTCGAGAGGAGTGTGTTATTCAAGGATATGAGCTGTGAGCTCTATCTTTCTTAAATTCGCCCGCTGTTATTACTAGGCCATTACCCTTAATTCTTTTTGAGCAGTAGTAACTGCTGGCATCTTACTTGTTTTATCATTTGTTCTCCTTGAAAGTCATCTGTCTTTCCTTACATGTTATTGCTGCTTGTTTCTCCCTATATAATTCTCAGAATTAGCCTCCATGCAATCTTGTTTATGTTAATTTTATGATTATTACACAGCTATATCCATTGTTTAATATTTACCAATGTGTACTTACCCACGTGTCATATCCATCCCTAATTCATGTGCTCAGTTGTATGATCCATATATTTTCAAGAGTATCGGTTATGCCAGGTCACTAACACATATTCAAGTCTTTTGCCATCGTTTTGACATAAAGCAATATAAATTATGACATATATTGAGCATGTGTGTTCCAGGCCTAGGATCCAACAATATTCGTAGATACTGAGATACTGACATTTAAACCTCCGGTCCGTCCTTGCCACTGTCCTCGCTGTCGTACTGCCAAGAAAGGAAAAATGTGGAGTTGCTATAGCTCTCCCGAAATCATCTCGATTCGTCAAAGTATCTATGCGACGACCATAGGAGCAATCTAATTGAGCGTAGGGAAAACCAACAATAATAGATAGTTACTCCGTGGCTCTGGACAACACTCCCATTTTAGTTCCCTCCGCACGCTATTCGGCTAGTGTCAGGGATATGATCGGTTTTCGGCTGCGGATATCGGTGTTAGGAGTTGTCCCGAGGCAACAACCTTAAAAAGGAGATCAATTCCCGATTTTGCGGGGGAAATTGTGAGATCATGGAATCACTATGAAGAAGCGAAGTACAGCTTCCCCTTTGCTGGGTCGCTAGAGCTATTTGCAATGAGCTTCTTAGATGGTCCTGGGAGATTATTTCAAGATTTGTTCATTCTTGAACATTCGTGTTTGTTGTGATATCTTCCTTGCATCCAGTAAGCTGTAAAATAGGTTGCTGCCGTTGCCATGTCTGAGATTCGTGGTTACGATTCGTTTTTCCGTCTTGACGGCAAGATCGCTCTTGTTACAGGAGGTGAGATCCCTTTTTGTTATTCACCTATTAGCTACTAATTCTCCTACCAGGGTCCAGAGGCATCGGCCTCCATACAGCCACTGCCTTTCTTCTAGCCGGCGCCAAAAAAGTTATCATTACCGCTAGGAAATCTGCTGGAGAGCAAGGCATTGACCAGGCGGTGAAAAAGTTAAACCAGATTCCTGGCGTCGCTGGGCATGCAGTTGGTATACAGGCCAATGCAGCGAATACAGAGGAGGTAGCAAAACTAGTCCACGAGGTCAGAAAAAGCGATGGAACGCTTGATATCTTAGTTGCAAATGCCGGGGCAACATGGGGAGGACCATTTGAGTCAACTCCAGACTGGAGTTCACAGAAGATCCTCGATCTTAACGTTCGAGGAGTTTTTAACTTGGTTAGACTGTAAGGAGAAAAAAAATTGAACCGATATCTAGAGTGCCCTTGAAAAGCTGACTTGAGAATAGGTTCACCCCATTACTTGAAGCGGCTGGTACCAGCCAGGATCCTTCAAGGGTCGTCATAGTCAGTTCTGTTGCGGGCGTTAATGTACCCCATGTTGGCGAGAACGGTACGATCATGTACTCAGTCTCCAAGGCTGCAGCAAATCATCTTGCAAGAAATCTCGCAGTTGAGTTAGGACCACGTAACATCACAACAAACACTGTCGCCCCGGGATTTTTCCCATCAAAACTCGCGAACGGGCTGATTGGAAATCTTGGAGGGAGAGACAAGCTGAGCTCAGATGTTCCTCGTGGAAGATTAGGGGAGCCGGAAGATATTGCAGGTGTAATGATTTACCTCTGTTCGCCGGCTGCAAACTATATGTAAGTTCCTTTCGCTGTTCTTTATCCATTCTCAAATGGTTCTCTGAATGACGCTAATCGTTCTAAAAGTAACGGTGTCGATATTGCTGTAGATGGTGGCAGGCATCTGGGGATCGGTCCACCGAGGCTGTAGTATGTTGAGATCCTTAAATGCAATTTCATATATATCTTTCATACAAACAATTTCAGGGATACTTCTTCCATGGCTATGAAAGTCGATCGATAAACAAACACCCCAAGGAAAATTACTGAAAATAGGAAGGATCCTTACCAACCAGCGGCGAAGTTCATCATGACCATGATTTTATTTTCCCCATCAAATCCCCTACTGCTTGGTTGATAGGATACCTTTTACGATTAAATAATAAGAACAGTTAACAGATGGGCCTACTTAACTCTTGACTCTAGAGCCACTTTTGTGATACCTCGTGTGGCTGTAGTGCTTTCCACTACAATAGCCATTGCATTGGAATATATATCATGACATCGTTGCTCGTCTTGATCGGAAAACTAGGTTGTGTACTCTGGAGAATGCCATGTAACTGATTTGAGAATACCATCTCAGTCATACGTGCTTGCCCCCAGATGACCAGGTGGTAAGCCGCAAATCCAAGCCAGGTTGTAGGAAAGATTTACTACGGATCAAAAAGCGCGTAAAGGTGACCACCGTGCAAGCGAGTCAAATACAAAACCTTTGTCATGATACCAAATCTTTATCCAGAGATCGTATGCAACTCTTAACCCTGGAATGAACTTATTTTTTTTTTTTACGTTGCCGAGGACCTTACATACCTAGATATCTCCTACTCACGCTAGGATTAACCCTGTACGGAGTATATACAAAGCCATAAGGTCAAGTAAAGTGTCGAGCGCTGATCATCGTACATGTACATTACATACAGTACAGTGCAGATGGTCATTAAAATAAGCATAATTATTGCGCTAACTAGTCCAAGGTAATACTAGCGTATGGTAAACTTTTGAGCTAAAGGATTATTTTAAGCACATCCAAAGTCTAATCTCCAAGAGAATATATATGACCTGTGCGTATTCTCTATGTTGGATTGAGAGTGAAAATAATACAAACCCATGAATATCAGGACATCAGCCCGATCGCCGACCACGATGTTACTATGTGATTACCATTTATGTCCACCATCCACCTGCGTATTATCATAAAATTTAGTATTCAAACTTCTGATAATAGATCTCATTACTAGCCTACGGACGCACTTTTGTTTTCAATGGCTTCGGAGGCCTTTGCATCCAACAGATAATCCACCTACTAGACACCTCAAAACCGCCAACAATATCCAAAATTAACGTTGAAGTTGCTAAAGTACAAAATGCAGTTAAAACGTAAGCCGTGCTTAGTTCAGCCCCGAAAGTGAACAGAAACCAACCGGCAAGTAGGACAGACCCTGCGGTCATAACAACTAAAAGTATCTTCTTCTGAATCCCGTATATCTTCCCACTAAATTTACCCTCTGTTGGACTATGAGACCATTTAGCAGCCTCTTCCCACGAAATCTGTTGTTCTCGCGCCCCCACAACAGGCTTGAAATTTCTAGGAGAGCTGAAAATGCTAACCTCTCTCTGAAAGGTCATGCACCCGAAATGAATCCAGAAATCTCCGTTCTTTTCATAGGCGGCCTCTTGTTCCCTTTCTTTGATTGCAGTTTTAAGAAGCCAGGCCGTGTGTTGTGTCTGAGGGTGGTCCGCGCCTAGAATCTCAGTTGAGAGCTCGGATAATTCTTGAAAAATAAAAGCCGCTTCGTCCAGTGCACCCTGCGATAATAGAAGGCAGCCCGTGGCGAGGCCTTCTCCGCTCAAAAGATTAGATTTATCCGCAGCATAAATACGTCGGAACACTTCGGACACCTCCCGCCGATAGTCGCTGATATCCTTCGGAAAATGCAATCTGAATCGAGTGTGGAAGAGAATCATCAGGTAGCTCGCGTGGAAAGGGCCGAGGTGATCGCCCTCAGACGTTTCATGCACAGTGTTATATACATCGACGAGAAGGTCCCGCGCGTCTGACAATTTCCCTTGGCCTGCCAAACAGATAGCGAGTAATTTGTTGGCCCAGGTGTAGAAGGTTCCCTCGAAAGATGGAATAGCGAGTTTGGAATCACCTGAATATTGGGCAGTAAGTGTCCTAGCTATCACTTCAGCCTCAGCATATTGCCCTTTTGTAGCCAAGATCTTGCTGAGATCATATCGAGCTCCCCTAGTCGGGAGGTCTTCTACATCTTGCCCGAATTTCTTGAGCATGTCGAGAAGTCCTTCTATATCTTGATTGGAGAATGCAGTGAAGGTGGCTTTAACTGCCTGAGCTGGCGAGAAGTTGAATCTTGCCAAATATTGTCGGTCAAAAAAAGTTGTGGGGAGCTCTGACAGTGTCGCTAAAAGTAATCCTTCATGCCATAACTTTCGGCGCGTACATAGCCATGCGGCCTCCCGGAGAAGTTTCGCGTACATAGAAACGAACCATTCCGAAGGTTTTCTTTTTAGAATTCGCCTCAGCGTCATCGGACCAAAGCCCATTCTTGGAAGTATTAGATGGGAGGGTGAAGGATCGGCTTCATCGACCTTGGTAGCATAGTCCAGGGCCAACGCTATTCTCGGATTGAGTTGTTTGCCTAGGAACACTTTGATAGAGGTATCTGAAACCCCGCTAGAAGGAATGAATTCAGAAGCTTGTGCCACAAGAATGGAAGCCCATGCCCAAGCAGTAAAATTGTGTTCATCCGTTGAAAATTCAAGAACAGAAACTGCACGTTTGCCAATAGCAAACAAGTCTCCAACTTTACCTGAAACATGCCAGTACGGATAGTAGCTAATCAGTAATTGAGCGAGATAGGTCCACAGTCGCAGATGGCGGACGCTAGAAAGAGGCTCCTCGGTTGCATCCATAGCTTGCTGTAAAACTTGAAGGAGATGTTTGAATGATGAATGGCTTGTAGAGCTCTCAGTAGCGGATCGAAACAAAATGGGTGATAGGAGGAAATATGCTGCGTGCGTTGTTTGAGTTAGTCGTTGGATAGGCTTTAACCTCGCACGACTCATGTAATGGACGAGCGGATGAAGCGATATCATTATACCATCTTCTCCTTCGGAATAGTATATGAGGGCCAGGGCGTGCAGGTCAGCTACAGAATTTACGAATTCTAATCGAGTTTCGAACATCTGCACAGACGGGAGTGACTTTCGGCGCCTCCCGCCTTCAAGGAGCAGATGTTCAGAAATCGTCGTGTTATCCAGAAAGCCAAGAAATGTCAGGAGTACTGCAGCTGCATAGTTCTTTTCCATCAGTACGCCAAAGGATAGCTTGAATGTCGTGAAGACAGATTCCCGATGGATAGAAGTATTTTCAGGATGGTCAAGAACTGTGGTCCGGTCGAGTTTGAAAACATTCCAATAGTATTCTATGCCCTTGCATCCAATAAGAGCACCTGCATGCTCCACTGCAAGGGCACGGTATCCCAGACACTTGACTATTTCCGTAGCTTGGGGGAGTGTTTGTCTTCGTAGCTCCTCATCATGTATGTTTGCCTTATTTAGAAGGAGGGTAACAGCGTCTTCCGGGTCTAGGTCTTCAAGGGGTATTAAATGACCGTAACCACCAATTTCCCGGCTTTGGCTAGTTATGAGGACATTTCCAGTCTCTGTTCGAGGAATGAATCCCAGAATATTCACGCCTGCAAGACTCACGTCGTCAATTATCAATAGCCAGTCGCCGGTTTGGCGATCTGAAAACCACCGATGGACAGCATGAATATTTCCCTGCATTTCTGCTTCGTTCATTTGGGGTTTGACCCCGCTGGTGGGGTTCGCATCAACTCCTGCGTGCGACGTGACTTCGTATATGATCTTTGCAAAATCTTCTTCCAAAGCTGCAAAGCTCCGCGCCGAAACCTTTAGGATGTGCGAGTAATGCTGCTTGTGAGATAAAGCATAAGCTGCTGCGAGTTGCGTTTTGCCTACTCCTCCGGGACCCCAGAGACAGACACGTCCCTGCAACTTTTTCTCCTTCGCGGATACGAAGTGTTGGTGGATAACATGAATTTCATTTTGCCGCCCCGTAAAATTAGGATTCTGAACGAAAGCGGGATCTGAAAGACAGATATTCGTATATGAGGCTTAATAAGATATTAACATATATTCGATTGTTTTCACGTAGTTGCATCTAGACGTACCGGTTCTACGCTCGCGATTAAGCTTGCCACAAGACTAATATGCGGGAAATACATATTAGCAACTGCGCATACATCTTGAGATAATTCGATATTTAATCATACCCGTATTCTTGTTACTAAGTCGATAGGACTTTTACCTAAGGCCATTAAGTTCTATTTCATCCCATGTCGAAGGCAGTAAGAGGCCAAAACCGGACTACACACCTTTTTTTTCTTTGAGGCGCTTTACACAATTCCTTAGCCGAACCCTCTGGTCCGTCGAAGTCAAATAGTCATCCGTGGCTGCCTCAAGCAGGCCCTGCTTCTTATACTCCTCTAACCCCACAGTCTGTAGACCTTGAGCAACGTTGAAACGGAAATATCTCTCACGATCGAATAAACCTCGGTGCCTTGCTTGGAATGTTTCTGCAGTTCGTTCGGTTTGCGTTGCCATTTTCACTATATCTTTTGCCAACATCTTCAAGGCACCCTCGTTCATGGGTGAGACACCTGGGTTTCCCGTGCCAATCGAGAGAAAGCAATTCACCAATGGCTCAAGAGCGCCATCGTCCGCGCACCAAATATTTTGAGCTTCATTCCAGACTTCATCCACCGGGTTGTTAGCTCCCAAAGCGCCGTCCACGTACCTCCGGGTACCGATAGCAGCTGGTTCGAAGAAGGATGTTGCAGCAGATGTTGCGCGCGCCGCATCTAGTATAGTAGGGCTGAGATTCGGGTCGCCCGGGAGTCTATAGGATTTGAGGCGTATGATGCTTTTAGTTTCGAATGCCGTTGCACAAACAAATCTACAGTTTGTTAGCTTTCGGCAGGGGGATCTTCTAGATATTTCACGTACACTCTAGATTTCCTCTCTTTGCCGTCATTAAGAAAGTCGGCGTCTGATAAGCCGAGGGATAGCAAAGTTTCTTGTAGAGAGTTCGTTAAAATCCCAGTGTTAAAACGGCCTTTAATTTTCCCTTTCCAGTCAACGGGAAATGACTTCTTCTTGAAGATCTGTTGTATCATTCGTGAGTACTCCGCGATGCACTGGTCTACGTCCATCTCGAGGCGTCCAAGCATTATGGCTATAAGTCTGTGGAAAGTCAGTGTGTTATGGTAAATGATCACAATAGCTGCAATAGGAACCATACCCTCCCGTGCTGGTGCCACCGATCAGGTCGAATAGGTCGCAGGGTTTCACGGAGGGAAGGTTAACGATGGCACGCTCATGGTTGACTCTTTCCATCAAACCCTGTAGGATCCGTAGGCTCGAGAGCCCCCTGACGCCTCCGCCATCTAGAGCCGGTTTCAGCCTATTTGTTCATGTTATCTCAAGGGTGGTATTATTACCAAGGGATAGCAAGCAAAGCCCGCAGTTGTTCAGTAGATCTCCCGCCAGTTCTTCGGGTTGAGCCTCGTTCATTTTGATGTTTTATGTGACAGTCTCACGCTGTAGCCAGCGGCTCGAACCGCAACACTTTAGGATAGGTAAACTTGAAGATATTTATCGTAACAAGACAAAACTCCAACGGCTCATCTGGCTCTCTAGGTTTATTTGCTTCATGAAGAATCGTTTTCCTGAAAGAGGAGAGAGGAGGAGTTGGGCAAGGCTTTGGACTCTGGAGGGCTAGAACATCTGGTGGCGCCTCACGCGCGAGGCACAGCAGAAAGAAGCCTTAGGACTTTCTGCCCACCCTCAACACACTTGCGCGTCCAGACACAGTCAATCTGCCTCGCTCCAGCGAGCACCACTCATGATTGTAAACATTGTTATCTTTGCCAGAGGCCCAGAGCCCTCATCTTGGTGTGGGCAAGTGAGGATTACCTCAAGATGTTGCGTGAGAGATGAACCTGACGGGCCTGCTTAGGCGCCTTAGTGAGCGCTGAGGGTCCCAGGGATTTCAACGGCATGAAGCTTTGGATGTGGGTTAAAGAGGTTGTTCGGCACAGTCCCTGGCCGGAAGAACCTTTCGCCAAAGGAAACTCCTGCAACGCATTCCCACAGGTTTCGTGTGCCGATTTTCCTTGGTTGGGGGGGGGGGTGAGGGAGCATCAGCAACTTGGACATGTCTAACATGGGGTCTAACTATGGGTTCTAACTATGGGAATGCGCCTTGCACTCTAGGTTCACTCCTCTACTCACCTAAATAGGCTTTCTCAGATAATTTCATAACAACCTCTGCTCACCGGTTACGGTCTACCTCCGATTCCTCGCACGCTTCCCCCAAGAATGCTGGACCAGGCTGATAATCTGAACCCCAGGGAAACTCTATGCCTGTGAGCTCCCCGGAATTTGCTGATTTCATCAATAGCACCAGAAGACTTAACTACTGGCTTTGCAAACAGGCTTTCTATGTGCCTTTTAATGGCCACGTTGAACGAAAGCTCTATGTGCCTGTAAACCTAGCTGTGAATGTGAGATGTTATCTCTGAATAGCTATGTAAAAGTGCCTTCAGATAGGTGTTTGATTCTAACATCTGAAATCCAAGACTCCAAGCACACTTCAAGACAATGTTGAACAAACAGAACTTGCTTGAATCATGTCACATTAAGGATATAACAAATCCACTTTTCACACTTCCCATTTTTTTGATGGCTTGTGAAGCCAATTCTACAAACAAAATGTAACTATATATATATATATTTCAATCCTAACCAAAATTCTGTCTTGCTCATTGGTGCTGAATACTGTACATGTAATTAATTATACATAACAAATTTGGCTATTGTCCATGTACAGTACATTTACCTTGTAGCATTCAAGGCTAATAGGTAGGGCAGCAGCTTATAACTATAATATATCAGTCAGAATTGAAGTAAGAAATTCCCGAAGAGTGCCAGGATGGAAGGGAAGTATTTTTCTCCCACAGGTACAGCTATACGTAAGTCAGGGGCATAAATCGATAAATCATGTCAGAGTCCACCTAGTTGATAGTTAGTTCAGGCCATGTAGAGCCCAAAGCCTAGTGTTCATCCATATGTTTTTATGCAGACCATCGCAGGAAACCACTACATCGTGGATGAAATACGCCATGGCTGTTCCTCTTCCCCTTCTTTTGCTCCCGATCATACTACAATAAAGCAACCAGCCAAACCCCGCCCGAGGCTGGGCGCGTAGGTAGTCAAGTCGGAGCCCATGTAACTGTGTGTCCGAATTGAATCATGTATTATTGTAATCCGTATCCAATATGAGGCTCTCTTTTCCAACATAGGGCTGTGGCTGGTTTATGTGAATTGAGTGCTGGATATAATTGAGACCTCAGATATAGTGCAGGTAAGTTATTATGCATGGTTATGAAATGGGATGATTCGGAAGCCATGGATTTATTATTGGCTCTAGTCATTCTCCTTAACTGAACTCTGCTGGCATCCGCAAACATCCACAGGTTGAAAAGTTGACAGTCGTCGGAAAGGCTTGCTTACAGCAGCATTAATAATAACTAAAGTCTTTATTCTGCTGTTTCTCTTGCTCTCAACATCCAGTTTCTTAGTGTAGAAGTGTAGATTTTAGAGCGCTAAAGTTTGTGCTTAAAATTGTGAATTATGCATGCGGATAAGCCAGAATGCGGCTAATTTGCACGTGGCGCTATGCCGCCGCCCAACCAGATCAAAGACTCGTCGACGCTTCCCGCTTCTCACCACCACCACCACCACCACCAACCATAGTGACCACCACCACCACAGTGACCACACTGGCCTTGAGTTGGTCCAACGACTGGTGCACAGTCCTTTCGTCCTGCGCTGGCGCTCAGCCCAACCGTGTGGACCTTGGGGTTTTTGGATGGTCAGGGTCAACCTTTTATCTTTTAGAGAGATTCCGGACTTGTCTCCGGAATACCAACTGACAAACGAAGGGACACTTTGTGTGTTATTATTCTAGTAGCTCAGTCGTTCGTGAAATCAGAGAGCAAAGCATGTGTATGATAGTTAATGCACAGACCCCTGGAAGCTCGCGCCCGGAGCGAGAACCATGCAGTTACAAGCTTGATGAGTTTGGAGAGCAACAACTTACAAGTTGCCAACAACGGGTCCATTGCAAGGAGAATTGCCGAATAGGCCCACAATAAAGTCAAATACCAGATGCTTCTGGCAAACTGTGCTGGCTGAATTTTCTCTGCCAAGGTTTTATCCCAGACGATGGACTAGCTATCCCCTAAGTCCCGGCTTGTCTCCTGCCGAGAGGATTAGCGGGGAAGGAGAGGGATAAGCTTCTGTCAAGCAATTTACTTGGATTTGTGCATTTGTGCATTTTGCGATCATCTAACCGGCTTGACTTATTAATTCATACCCTCTTTTCTTTTCCCGTTTTGATGCTTCGGTTGAATTAGCCTTCTTGACAAGGAAATTCACTTTTGTTCTGATCGCTGTACTCTGTATGGGAGCTCGACTTTGCTACCTTACATTGGACTTCCCCCGCCGTTTTCCTTGGACCCTATTTTGACCCTTCAACCCTCGCTTTCCGCGCTTTCTAGGTCAAGGGCGTGGGAACAGGAGAACTTTTGATGGCTTGGAGCTCTTTTTTTCCATTCTCATCCAATTTAAAAAATAACTGGAATATCAACATTGATATTTGCCGCCAACAAACCTCGGCGGCCCAATGATTGCCAGTGACAGTATGTACCCACCAAGCATCGTGAAACCAGCACAATTGTCAAAGTTAACTCAAGAATAAGAAGCGTCAACGATAGTTGAACCTAGCCCCGATGATGCTGTGACACTGTCGGGCAATGCTACATCGCGGCCATCTTCCCCTGCAAATAAGCATGCTATATCCGTGAGTATGGCAGATGTCGATAAAGGGCCGACCTTACCCAGTAGCGGTGAGGTCGGATCTCAATATCACGATCGTCCCCTATCAGGCGGAGAGCCCATGGATTCAAACAAGGTCGACTGGGATGGACCGGACGATCCAATGAACCCTTACAATTGGCCGACGACCAAGAAAGTCGGCATCGTGGTAGGAATAGCGCTGATTACTTTCTTAACGTATGTTCTGTCCACTGCAACCTCCTGCACTTTTACCTGGATTCACGCAGCTAACAATTTATGGGCAGGCCCCTGGGATCCTCCATCTTTGCCCCTGGGACTGCGGAGGTCATGACCGAGTTCAAAACGAATAACCTGGAACTTGCTTCCTTCGTCATGTCTGTCTATCTGCTAGGTTATGCATTTGGCCCGCTAATTATTGCCCCTCTCTCCGAACTGTATGGGCGCATGTATCTATATCATGCCTGCAATGTTCTTTTTATTGTCTTCAACGTTGCTTGCGCTGTTGCCCCGAGATTAGATTCACTTATCGTCTTTCGGTTTTTCGCCGGCGCGGCAGGTAGCTGCCCCTTAACAATCGGTGCAGCTTCACTAGCGGATATGATTAAACAAGAAAAGAGAGGAGCCGCCATGGGTGCTTGGGCTCTTGGACCGCTAATCGGTCCTGTTGCGGGCCCAATTGCGGGAGGATACTTGACTGAGTCGATGGGGTGGCGGTGGACATTCTGGATTCTTGCTATAGCTGTCAGTAAACCATCTCGCTTTATTGGGCTCCCCGTGCCCTGCCTGCACGAGTTCTGCTTCTAACCGCTTCTTCTCTGTTACATTCAGTCCGGTGCTGTCGCCGTCAACACCTTTGTCTTTATGAGTGAATCGTGTCACTCCATTCTGTTGGAACAGAAAAGGAAGCGACTCGTCAAAGAAACTGGCAACCAAAATCTCAAATCCGTCCTTGACACAGGTAAAACGTCCAAAGAACTATTCCTCTTCGCCATTGTTCGGCCAACCAAAATGCTGTTCCTGTCTCCTATTGTGTTCCTACTATCTCTCTACATGGCTCTCGTCTACGGCTATCTTTACCTACTTTTCACAACCTTCTCGAGTGTGTTTGTAGGGCAATACAATTTCTCTACAGGTATGTATCTCACCGGGGTTTCCAAGCATCCCCATCCTCTCCCATTTTCCCCTTGCCTCCCCAAAGATCCCGACAAAGTGCATCAAATCAACTAACCTAGTTTACTTGATGAACAATAGGAAGCGCCGGACTTGCATTCTTAGGGATTGGTGTGGGGTCACTCATAGGCCTCGCCTTCAGCTCAGCATTGTCAGATCGCATCCTTCAAAACCTCGCGAAAAAGAATAACGGCGAAATGAAGCCCGAGTACAGAGTCCCACTTATGATTCCAGGAGGCCTCTGCGTCCCAATCGGATTATTCTGGTACGGCTGGACGGCCGAGAAGGGCATGCACTATGTCGTACCGATCTTTGGCACTAGTTTTTTGGGTATTGGTATGATCATGGTATTTGTAAGTATTGATTCTTTTTTTTCCTTTTTCGTTCTCGTTTTTTGGTTATCTCCATCCAGCATCAAGCTCCCGAATCTAACCATCCCTATCCATTTAGATGACCGGATCAACGTATCTTGTCGACGCTTTCACCGTACATGCTGCCAGCGCCATGGCTGCCACCACTGTCTTCCGCTCCCTAGGAGGTGCACTGCTGCCCCTCTGTGGCTTGAAAATGTACAGCTCCTTGGGCCTTGGTTGGGGCAACTCTCTGCTGGGATTCATTGCGCTGGCAATGACGCCGATTCCTTGGGCCTTCTACCGGTATGGGGAAAGAGTGAGAACGAGCAAAAGATTCCGTGTGAACTTTTAGACACGAGATGAGTTGGTGTTTTGGAAGGCAAAATTTTTCTTTTTCGGGAGTCACCTCTTTTGTTTCTTTGTTAATATTTATTCTCTTTGAACAAAAATCTACAATATACGCAAGGGAAAACGTGGGAAAGAGAGATGTATATCATTTTATATCATTTTTCATTATAGCTAGCATATACAGGCGTCGAATTGGATTAGATAGATGTTCATAGCTTTATGATAATACCCTCGCATATACCATACATACATTTATTCTCTCCTTTTATCCCGCTCGTGAAATTAACTGTTTCTAGCCGACCTTCTATTTTGTAATAATTTATTACACTTTAACTTTGTAGAGCCGGTCGCTTTGTGGCCGGGGGTTGGAGTCGGTCACATGACTAAAGTGTCGATGGCAGCTTGTCACGGCACAAACATCTCGCTGCTCACTGCTCATCCCAAACACCCCAACTTGGGGTAGGCAACTTGCGCATCTTCGCCGAGTAGACAGGAAAGGGCTTCCAGAGCCGATTCCCTGCTTTACGCAAAACGTGTGCTTGTGCCTGTCAACCTCATCGTCTGCCCTTGACAATTGCTACTCCATTCATCCATCCCCCTTTGTGTCGCCAATGCCGTCCAGATAGATAGCTAGCCATTCCAGCGCCATTCTCCGCGAAACGAACATGGCACACCGGCCACCGTCAAGATTGTTTCTTTTTATTGGCCTTGCGTTCTTCTTCATCCTTACCCTCGCATTCCTCCGCCAAGGCTCCCCACTAAGTCCTGAGGCGCGTGCCCCAGGCCACGTTGACAGGACAATTCCCAATGTCGAGATAACAGATAAGATGCTGCAAGGGGGTGTGGTAAGTTCGAAGATGGGCAATGAGACTGCGAGGTAAGGATAACTAGCTGTGCTTGGACTTGCTTTTATGTTGGCTCGTGGCTATTGCTACTATTGCTATCTATCAAGCTCTCGCGTTTGAGTGGGTCCTACGGGGCGGAGACAACTTGACTAAGAACGGATTGTATAGTTAAGTTAGATAGCTAACAGGAGAGTTGTTGCTTACAGGGCGGAACTTGGTCGGGCAGCTTGGAGAGTGCTCCATACCATGATAGCGCAGTTTCCAGACGAGCCATCAGAGGAGCAACAAGAAACGCTACGGTCATACATATATCTATTCTCAAGATTATACCCTTGGTACGTCCTTGTCTCGAGCTGAATCCTTCCTGCAAAGCTGAGCTGCTCAAATATTGATGAAAATGTCTCCCACTAACTAAATTCCTCGATAGCGGCGAATGCGCATCCCATTTCCAGGCCCATTTAGCAAAATTCCCGCCGCAAGTGTCGTCGCGCTCCGCAGCCGCTGCATGGGCATGCCATGTTCACAACGAAGTGAACAAGATGCTCCACAAGGATATCTTCGACTGTAGCAAGATTGGAGATTTCTACGACTGTGGCTGCGCACATGACGACGACAAGAGTGACGGCGGAGGGGAGAAGGGGGGCCAAGATGGAGCGGGAGATAGTAGCAAGATAAATCCTATGAAAAGTGCTAATCAGCCAGTTTCAGGCAAGGCGGAGGTGGATGAAAGCGCAACGAAGAAAGTATCCCAGAATGGGAGGCAGATCAACCCTGGGTCGTTTCCACCTGTCGAAATACACCCTGAACCGTAAGTACTTTATGTACCCTCCAACCCACGTCGTGGCTGTGATACATATCACTTTGAAACATCTTGCGTTCATTATTTGTAAATATATATTGACGGCACATTTTCAGGCAAACAAATGGTTAGTGGTTTATTCGGTTTGAATTGTCCTCCGATGATGCCCTTAACCATACGTGGAAGGCTCTATCCGACATGGAACTAAGGGTGTTCGGTGGACGACCGCGGGGGATTGTGAACGCCCATACTACTAATCGTGCCCCATGGCCTCAAAAGTTCAAATGCCATCTTCAGAGCAATGGACTCAAACAACTTATGATGTAAATTTTATCTATAAGTGGACTGGCGTTCAGGTTTTGATATTCGTATTGTATTATATCCCCCCCTTATTGCTTCAGACATGCAGCATCATATTTCTATAATAGTCGAGCAGGCCTCATAAAAAAGACAATGTTACAGTAGAGATCAAAACACATAAAGCCAAGAGAGGTGCACATTGCAATATTTGTAAAGGCGCGACCTGTTTAGAACAGGTACAAATGAAAAAGATCAAAACCCTGCAACCGTGATTCCGTCCATAACTGCAATGCCTGGAAGCTAAAATTTATTATATGACACATGCATAATTCACAACCCCCCACCATCCCCCCCGCTGAAAACAATCGACGACAGCTGAGCACGATTTGGATCACACTCTGGAAGCTCCCAGCAGAACCTGGGTGCCTCTAAAGATTGCTTCGCAAGGCCAGCCGCCCTTGCCGCCAGGAAAGCATACTACAGCGTAGTCAAGAGAAGAAATCTCGCAGGGGTTCTTCTCCTGTCCGCGCTTGTCCAAAGACCACCTCAACCCATCCACATCATCTCTATGCGTCGGAATCATATCCCGGAGCGCCTCATCCAGTGTCCTGTGAAACATAGCGTCAGCCGCATGGTCACCAACAAGTAGCAAAGCAGACGGCAGCTCAAGGCCCTCCAAGCCCACCTTCGTGATCGTGTCGCGGATCTGTCGCCAGGAGGCCCGTTGCGCATCCGCATCCGCATCCCCGTCACCCTCGGGCCAAGCGGACCTACCTTGAAGTCGGGTTGGGAGCGAAAGGGCCCCGAAAATAAGTATTTATCGCCGTCAGCGATGCATTTGTAAAACTCAGAAGCAGCCTTTGTTCGTAGGCTAGCGCCCAGCCCTCATAGCCCAGATGATATGATTCAAGGGGATTCGATCCTTTACTGACCAATACTTAGATATTGTGGCGGACGTATTGCTTGCGAAAACAGAATTTTCCCACCCCCCCTGAAAATTAGTAGCAAAACACCACAAGAAAATCAAAATATCCATGTTTCTCTAGAATCATTCAATATCATCCAATACACATCATTTTCAATCAAATATCATCCAAGAATGTGTCTTTCTTACCTTTATCACCAATATGTCATCTTAACTGAGTGATTTCACCATTAATAAGATTGTATGTCTTCTTAAGAATGGTTATATACCTGCTGAGATCATGCAGAGCATTGATTGTCATCTGGCCACTCTATATCAAATTTAATAAAATCTTCACTGTTTTGAAACTGCTAGAGAACTCCATTCAACACACAGTGTAAAGTCAAAGATTACATCAGATATCTTATCAGAATTAGAGGATTTTTTCAAGATATATTCAACTGCATATTGTGATGAGACTGTCTGTAAGCAAGCTTTACACCTTCCACAAATGAGAGTATCTGATTTCCTGATTGTAATATGAATAATGAAATATCAAAGAATTATAGATCATACATAAGTAGGCAAGATAAACAAAGATAAGCATAATAGCCGAAAATAGGCTAGACAACTGGAAGCACTTTAACAATGCCATTCTTCTTTTCAGCAACATACAGATGTTGATTTCCTGGTGCAGTTGCAAAATATAGAGATTGCCTAATGCCATCACCTGAAAGTCTACCAACACCAAGAGCTGCTGGTGTGATAACGCCCTCCTCTCTAATCCAGTCAGACACAGGATTCCCCTGCGAATCCAATAGCTGTATGTCAACAATGACTTGTTGCCGTATGATAATCCCATTCGGTGTTGATACTGAGACATATGTCCCAAACCCCTCATAGGTTGGAGGGATGGCCAAAGCAGTCAGATCTGTATCAAAGACAGTCAACACATCACTTCCAGTGTCATTGAGCATTGTGACAGTAATCGATAATGACGATGATAAGAGGCCTGGAATGGGCCTAATTCGGGCGAATATCTGATGCAAGGCCATGTGTCAAACATGCGTATCACCAAGTAGATACTCCCTAGAAATTTAAAATGCTAACCTCATGTCCACCGGTGCCTTCTGCGTAGGTATTATATATCATGTGATGTGCTAGTTGCTGGCTCGAAGGCTGAAGAGGCGTTAGATGGAAGCTAGCTACTAGTCACAAGGATGGACTAGATGAAGTAACAACACCAACATTGCACACAGGCTGAGAGGGTGCAGAAGACAGCCCTGGCACGGTAGCTGGAATTGTAGCCCGTGAAGATAGTTGTTGACCATAACCCTAGTTTGAAATGAGGGTTAAGAACGGTGAATGCATATAGATCATGGAAGGTGAAGGAAATACCTCAACCCAGTATGGCTGCTTAAAATTGATATCCTTAAGAGAGACAACCTTGCCATTCTGGATATATTTAAACCGTCCTGGTAGCTCTTTTGAATGATACAGATTGATAGCAACCTGGAGGTTAATCTTCTGTGCCTGACTGGTGGCAGGGTCATCGATCATGGCCCGCAGCTGGGCAATACGGCCTGGCACATCCCACTGAATGGGAATGGGGAATGTAGGCAGTGGATTGAAAGGGCGGGAGGACATGGCTTGCAAGGTGGCAACAGAGATAGAAACAGAGAAGAGAGGAAGATGGAGATGAAGATGGAGATGGAGATGGAGATGGAGATGGAGATGAAGGTGGAGATGAAGGTGGAGATGGAGATGAAGATCGAGCTGTAGTTGCTTATGGGAACAATGTTGTTCCGCTCCGACACCTACTTATATATATTATGGTGTTTGATAACAGCAATTGTATTTCAGTACAAGTTGTAAGGAGGGGAGATCTTGCTGAGGTTCTACTAAGATAAATAATACAAAGCAACCCTCAGTGATGACTACATACTTAAATATCTAAAATATTAGTTACAGAGTACACTTAGTGTTATTCAGGATAAAATATGTCAGCTATGTCTTGGAGCGGCGCCATCTCGAGTGCTAATGCCATCAGTCCTACGGAGTAACTATATAGTACACCCGATGCCAAATCTGTCGCGCTATCCTAACTATCCAAGGGTTTTAACTGGCAACGGCCGAAAGTTTCATACTGTGTGTGTAGTTCGCCCGCCGGATGCCTGCTCACTTTGTAACTGCGTACGTACGGGGAACAGCTGTTAGTGCTTTCGCCAGCACTCCACTCCGGTTGGATCCCTTATTAGTAGCCAAATAATACCCCTATCCACCCCGCTCGCCCCCGAAAGATTGAGGAAAGTCTTATTACCCTCTTTCTATCACAAAAGAAGCAGAAAAAAACATCAGAACTTGAAACCGACACTAAATGCTGACAAATTCAACCGCAACTTCCACCTATTCTCAATAATTCCAACATCATGAGTACCGCAAACACACATGAGGCCACTGATGCAGCAGCCTCAAACCCCAGACCCGAACTCCCAATTATCGATGTGGACGACGACGCTGCAGATTCCACCTTTGGCGACGAGTCTGACGCCTCCGCCTACAGCGCCTCGGTCACCTCCTCAATTCTAAATTACGAGTATGCCAACGGTCGTAGATACACTGGCTACAAAAAGGGGGAATATCTTCTCCCCAACGATGAAACTGAGCAAGACCGTCTTGACCTTCTCCATCATGTTTTTCTGCTACTGCTCGATGGGAAACTCTTTCGCGCACCTATCGGACCCAGCCCCCAGCGGGCACTGGATCTTGGAACCGGCACTGGCCTCTGGGCTTTGGATTTCGGCGATGAATATCCGTCCGCACAGGCCATAGGGGTAGATCTGAGCCCTATCCAGCCGACCTGGGTGGCTCCCAATGTTAAATTCTATGTTGACGACATTGAAACCGATTGGGCTTACAGCCGTGACGAGCCCTTTGATCTTATCCACTCACGCCAGATTGGTGGAAGCGTTGGGAACTGGAAAAAGCTGCTCGCGCAGTGTTTGGAGCACTTGAAACCAGGAGGATGGCTGGAGCTTCAGGAACCTGAGGCTTGGATGTCGTCCGATGACGATACCATGGAAAGGGCCACTGCCTCCGCTGAGTACCAAACCCTCTGCAATGAAGCTGCGAAGAAATTTGGGAAGGAACTCAATGTCGCTCATAAGTTTAAGCAAATGCTTATTGACGCGGGATTCGAGGATGTGCGGGAGGAAATCCACAAGGTTTGTTTTTTTTTTTTTCCCTATCATTCCAAAAAACCCTCCCTCATCACTTGCATCAATCTCACCTGTCAACATCTAGGTTCCAATCGGTCCCTGGGCCAAAGACCCAAAACTCAAAGAAGTCGGACGCTATTTCCTGGAACATGCTCTTCTAGGCGTTGAAGCGTACGCTTTCGGCTTTATGGGTAAAGTTCTTGGATGGACTCACGCTGAGTGCCAGGTCCTCTCGGCCAAAGTGAAGGCGGAGTTTCGCAATCGGCAGAACCATATGTATATCAAGACCTATTTTGTCAGCGGGAGGAAACCCAGCTAAAACAGAGTTTTCCCCCATCTTATATTTGTTGTTGTCTTTGACTTTTTTTATTTTTTATTTATGATAATGACTAAACCTCACTTGGACATACATTCCCCACCTCCACTGAGCACTTTTTTCATTCAGAGAATTATCCATTTAGATAAGCAGCATGAAGAATTGGGCATATTCATCACTTCTTTGTGTTTCTATGCACATTCTGCAAGTAGCTATCTTCAGCAAGATACTCATAGATTATATATTGGCTATTTCGCTCCTTTTGAATCATGATCATGCCAATGATGGTACTTCAAAAACAAAATAGAATTTCTCCATGAATAGAATCGACACTCCACTCCACCGCTTTGCAACACACAGCATCCAGTTATGTATCACCAAGACAATAATATATCAGATGGGTTGGTTGGGAACAAATATTTTAGACCCGTAACGGGCCCCAGAGCTAAAGTCGGCTGCTCCCTGGCAAATCAACCAGAGCTAAGCGAAGCGTGAAAGCTCATTGGAACGCTGTATTCGCTGGTCTGATCAAGAACGACCGCCAGCTTCTCGGATGTATTAGCCGCAAGAAGCACCAAAACTAACTTTCGCTGGGCAGAATGATAAAGTCCACACCTTGCAGGATATAATAATGGCGGTAATAGAAACTGATAACTTATTAAGTATTCGCTGACCAAGAATGAATGCCCTTCAATAACCCAACGAGTGTTGTTCTTCTTCTTCTTCTCTAAGGCACTTCGGGGAAATGTGTGGAACGCGGCTTTTTACTTCAACACCTAGTTCCAAAGCTCGAACCGCCGTTGCATCAGCCGGGAGCTGGTGATACTAACCAACCAACTGTCTAATTCGACTAGATGGATGGTAACTGATGGGCTTATTGTCTCTCTCATAGTTACGGCCACAGGGGCATGACGCCCGCAGAAATCAACCATGATAGAGCCCTAACTAGCGCTCTTGACCCGCTCATTATCAGGCCGTTGTCTAAGATATATGGCGGACAATGAGATTTGAAGCTAGTGACGTTGTTCGCGTCTCTCTCTCAAAAAATGTCGGCGCGAGCGGTATCTGTGCACTTGCAAGAGGATCTACGGCTGAGATTTGAGGACTCGGGAGCAGCGAGGACGTGGTTTGACAGCATACACCCTCGTCCCGCTGCTGGCCGTGCGTGAGAGAGAAAGACAGAGGTTTGAGATTCTGTTGGATTCTTTGATTCATTTGGTTAAAGCTATAATAAACCTAACCACTCTCTCAGGTTGCTCTGCTGGTGGTTTCATCACTGGATACTCAGACCAGTCCTGGCTGTTCTAGTCCGAATCCGCAACTACAGTGCGCATCATATCGCTTTTTCTAATTCCACAAGTTTTCACGTCTCCTCGTCCTCCGAATACATGGCCAAGAATTTCGCAATAAGATGGTAAACAGTGGTGGCTACATGGAAAGCCAGAAGCTTGACGGATCCAACTTTTGATAACTCTTCGGGGGGCTTCAACTATGATATTCTGTACTGTCCATTGCCCTTCGCCACCATCTCACGCCTTTGGATTTTGGCATTACCACCTGTTCTGTTGAAACTGGTTGCACTACATTTTCCTGTTTGCTGAACAAACTGGTGGGTTCATAGTTTAGTGCATGATTAATGAATCATTTCTATAAATGTCAACAGCAGAGTTGATTGTTTCCCCCTAAATCTCATACCCAACTTGTGATTCCTGGAATTATTGCCTCTTGATCAGCTACCAATAAGTGTGCAATTGAGTGATAACCTATATCAAGGTACCATTTTACCCCGTCTTTGAATTTGCAGTGCACTGAGCCTTCTGCCGAGTAATATAAATCTATACTCGCAGGTTTGCTAACTCCCCTGGTTTCCTAGTACTGCCACATCATACGTCATTGCCTTGAAAGCGCCATGACTGCACGGCTGTTTGTTTTGTAAAAGAGCTTAACAAACAGCCTTTTCTGTGTTCCCCTGTCTTAACCCCCCTAGCATATACATACATACCAAGCGCTGAGGTGTGGATGGACCAAACTATGTACTGTGCATTATTTTCCCCTGGCCGGGTTTTGTCTTTACTATTCGGCCGGCCGCTATTTGAATGGAACCACAACGCGCGAATTAACGGACGGGGTTGGTGACTGGTTATATCAACTCCCGTCAATGAGGGACTAATGTTAGCTCCTTCTTCACTTCCTAGAGTCTGGACGGTAGCTCGTTGCGGTGGCACATGGTATATATGCTATATAAAGGCCAACTGCTCTGCTAGTTAGCCGTCAGCGGCAAGTTAGCCGGTGAAACATTGGGGATGAGCGTTGGGGGGGAGGGGGGGGGGGAGAATACATATCGAACGTTAAAAATTAGATAGAGATGGATTGCCTTTTGCCTTTTTACCTTTTTCTCTTCCCCTGATTTCATTCAGGCCGAATTAACCACATGGCACAAGTATGAGATAACTTACGGATCGCGAACCAACCTCCCGCCATCCATCTATCGCTTGTACAAAAAGTTATAGTTGCATACCACCTGCATCATTCGGTCGTCGGACCAGTCTGAATATCAAAAAGTCCAAAATCGAAAACCTTTGCGACCAAACATCCACTTCGCCATCTGATTGTCTACCCGCAAGGGCTAACTATTAAAATATCGGATGGCAGACACATACTCCGTACATACATCAATCAGAGCAAAACAATAGGACAAAACACACCCAACCACATCCATCCCACTTCTAACCAAGCACATCTCCTATCCCATCCCATCCCGCTATTTGCCTTCTAGAAACTCCATGCTATGCAGTACAGTTCCGGTTGGTTGGCTACATCGTAAGCTAAAATGAAGCCATGTAGTTACCTAACTACTGTAGCTACATGCGCACGCTTCGAGTCCCAGGACCATGGTTAGGGTGGCCTCAGGTGTCAGCATTCTAATTCTACAGTACAGTACGCCGTACATTTCATAATTATGAATCTTTCTCTATAAAAAGAAATATAAAATAAAAATAAAAATAAAGCAGAGAGGGGGGGAGGGGGGAGGGGGGAGGGGGGGGTTGGGGAGCAGCTGACTCCCCTAATACTAGGTACACTACACGCATATGCCATACCATACCAGCCAGGTTGAAACGACCTGGACAGCCTCGCGCAAGATTTTTACGCAGTGTGTATTCCGTATATGCTGACAAAATGAAATGTACATGTACATACATATACAGAGTACAGGACGTGAGATATACAGTACATCGCGCCGCGGATACAGCGATACAGAAAGAGACAAGTCTTGTTCTATACATTACATACTTCCTCACAATGTATGTAGTCAGAACTTCTTTCGCGGCATCACTTCAATCAAATTTCCAAAGTTATGATGATTATGATTTGAGCGCGGCCTGGCTGGTAAACTTGGTGTTTGAAGATCCTGGGTGGAGGAGGGGTATATTCGTCTATGATTGGGAAAAAGTTGGGAGGAAAGCCTGCACTGTGATTCGATGCGCATCTGTACTTTTTTTTTTTTTTTTTTTTTTTTGCTTTTTCCTTCTGTTTCTGGCCTTTGGTGGGCTGGGCTGTCTTTTCTGATACAAGTAGCCACATCCATGTGCATGGGCTGGTGTCGGGAGCGAATCAGCTTTCGTGCGCAAATAGGGGGACGGAACTGCAAAGAGAATTGGAGCCTTGCAATTGCTGCTGGGTTGTGACAAACAAAAAATAATAATAAATGAATGAATCAGGGCTTGAAGATAAACCAGAGGCGGAGAGGGATATTGGGGTCATACATTATCCCCTTGCTAGGTGGTGCGTATTATCTATCTCTCTCTCTCTTCTCCATTAACTACCCATCGGAGTGTGACACTGCGACAAAAATACTGCTGTCTGTTCAGTAACTTAGTTAGTTACTAGTTAAAGGTTTCATCTAGAATTTCAATTGCGACGGGGTGGACGCCCGCTGAGCAAAAGTCTCCACACACACACATATATATGCACACACGTACGAAACCAGGACATGAGGGCATGAGGTTAGTCATCATGACAGGAATAATACAAGAAGAGGACGACGACCAGGATCAGGATACGTTCACTTCGTGGAGCAGCTGGCGGGCGCGGGCGCGCATGGCGGGCTGGGGGCTAGTTAAATAGTTGACTGAGTTATCGATAAGAAACACCTGCCCCCCTCTACCCTTCTGGCCCTGTGTGTGTGCGTACAGCGCGACGGTTTTTGGAAGAAAGCGTCCTCTCTATATGTAACTATCGCTTGTTTTCAAGGTTCAGTCCGTAATTCTGACCATCGCATTGGATCATCGTTTGGGCTGAGCTGGCCTGGAGCTGGGACTGGGACTGGGATTGGGACTGGGATTGGGACTGGGATTGCGATTGCGATTGCGATTGTGATGGGCGTATGAATTTATTTCTTTTCTCGCGTTTCTCCTGACTTGACAGGGGGGTGATTAACCCCTCGCCGCAGATCCGATGCTGGAAGACTATGATGTCGAGCGGGACCGGGTTCATGGGATGGGAAAGGCGGTTGATATGATAATACATTAAGTAAATAAACAACATTCAGCGGCATCTGAAGCCGGAGACAAGACACCATCATAACGGTGTATGTTTTGTATATAATAATAATAATTTCTCTTGCCGTGTCAGAAACGGATCAACCTAAAGCACGGAGGGATTGTCAGTCAGGAATCATAATATTCGTAATAATCATAACAACCATATAACTAAATGTTAGCCTCAAGGGGGTGTCATCTGCGCTGACGACGTGATTGATTGCTTCGGCCTTGTTTTTGTTTTGTTTTCTTTTTTTTTTCGTAAATGTCTTGACTTCGATCTGCTCACCCGCTCTCCTCGTTCCTCTCTCTCTCATGGCCCTTTACCGTTTATTAGTTAAACAGCCGCCTTCCCGTGTCTCTGCTGCAGCTGGGCTAACTAGTTCTCATTCTTTATTATTCGCTGGTTTCTGGTTTGTTGCTGGGAACCTTTTTGACTGGCGGCGCATTTGAAAATATATTGGTATTTTTGGCCTCGTATTGGGGCGTAAATATTTCAGACAAACAGACCAGGGAAGAACAAAAAAGAGGAACAAAGAAAGGAACAGAAGAGGAGAAGAAGCAAAAAGATTTCTCTCTGTGAAAGACGAGAGATATCCAGCTCATTTATATAACTAACTATATTGTCTTGGGTGACCTGCAGCAGATTTTATGAAGTTATTAATAAAATAATTCTCCAAAATTCTTCGTTTGCTCGCATCCAACTCGCCCAACTCAAAACCCACTGGCATTTCTCTCCGCCTCACTTCTCACGCCCTCGCCGTTGAGTCGTCTCTGCCCCGCCTCACCGACTCTTCCTTGCGCTCCTCTTGATCCTCTTGGGCATCGACACTTGTTCTCCCAGACCCCGCCCTGTCTGCGGTCTTGTCTGTCTCTGCTCTGGCGGGCCCCGTCCTGCTGCTTCCACGACACCATGGTCTCGTTTCAATGCGAGGTGAGTTGGCTATCGTTTTCTGTTTCTGTTTCTTCTCATCTTATCCTGTTCGGGTTTGGATCCGTCCTTTTGTTTTTTTTTTTTTTTCACCGTGGCTTACCGGTTGGTGGGGGTGGTGGTGGATGGAATGGAATTGCTGTAAAAAAAAATTAAATATTCCCGTTGATGCATTGCTGACCACAAGCTAAATATCTCCCTCATTGAGTCTCTCCCTCTAGGCTTGCGGCGACGTCTTCACCAAGAAGAAGACCGATCCCCACCGTAATCAGTGTCGCGGCGCGCGTTTCTCCTGTCTCGATTGTTCAGTCGAATTCCCCGGAACCTCTTATCGAGGCCATACGGTACGGCTACGTCCTCTTCTATTCCAAATTTTTTATAAATTTCAAACGTCGCACTGCAATCCTAGCCCCCGCAAGCTGCCCATAAATTCCGCATTTCACCTCCATCAATTCTACGCGCGCTAGCACTTGGGATCTGCTGTTGTTGTCGTGGTGGTCGTCTGAATCGTCGCGTTATGTGCTTGCATGGGTTCCTATGTGCACCTCTTTTTTCATGTGCGCGCCAGCCAACCCAGCGGCGATGCGACGGGTCGATCGATGATTCGCCTGGCGGATCAGCAGAAACATCCTGCCATGTCTCCCCTATCCTCTTCCCCCTTGCGTTTGATTTGGCAGATGGCTTCACTGGTCGCATTTGTTGCGTGATGGGTGCTTTGCCATTGGGTAGCCATCGCGGAACCCATGCGCCTGGGTGAAGCCATCATGTCTTCCCATTCGTGACAGTTACAACCTATTGCTCCATCAAACCACATGCCATCCCGACTAGTATGACAAAACAAAATAGTCCAGCTAACACGTTTTGTCTTGGGGTCTTGTGTGTTTTTCTAGTCATGCATATCAGAAGCACAGAAATACCAGGGTGCCCTCTACAAGGAGAAGCCAAACAAATCCAAGAAATTCAAGTCCGTGACAATAGTTGAACCCCCGAATTCCTCCAATTCTCCTCGGCCCCCTGACCCTTGGGTAGAAGATGCTCCAGATGTTGACGAGATTAGACCTGCCCATAATGCTTCCCCTCCGGCCGCTCCTAGCCCTCAACAGGCTGCTCCTCGCCAGGAACCTGGAAAGGTTTCGACCCCTGCCACTACAACCAAGCCTAATGCCCAGGTGAATGTGTTTGATTTTCTCGACACGACAACCACCCCGAATGCCTCAAAAGTCTCCCTAGGAGGATCCGACGCGCCAATGGTTATGCTAAAGGATGCACCCCCGCTCTTCAATGCGCCCAAGGAGCTTGCAAAGATCGATAATGGAAAGGATGATGAGGTAAATTACGATGTGGCATTTGAAGAGAATGGCTTCTCCTATGGCGCAGACACCCTAGAGACACCACTATACCAAAACGGAGGTGCAAATGGATCCACCGCGTCTTTCAACAATTTCACGACCCCAGCACCAAAACGGAATAAGGATCGGTCATCCCGTCGGGATAGAGATCAGCATCGGGATCAGAATCGGGATCAGGACCGCCCAGCTTCCCCGGATCGGTTCCATACTCCTCTTAACAACCCGACTAGTACAGGTGACAAGAAGCGTAAACGCGGCCATGTTGGAAAAGTCGATGGCCAGATGGCCAATTCGGCCTCCACTGGCGGTGATGATATCCAAATGATCGACGCTCCCCCCCCATCAAGTGCTATTGCTAACCCATCAACCCCAACGCTGGCCCACTCAGGCCTTACTGGTGGCATCAACCGCATGATGAGAGATATCTCCCCACCAACACCAGACGCAGCCTACCGCAGCGCCGACGAGGGCTTCAATAATGACGGACGCCACCAATACCCCAACCCAACTTCCCCCATAAAACGCACCCGCATGGCAGATAACGATGCCTCCGGCAACCACAACCACAAGAACACTAACAATCATAATGATAAGGACACTAACGACGAATCTACCACGGACGAACAGGACAAGGCCCTCGTCCTCGCTATCCAGGAACGTACAGATCGGATCATGGACCTCCTCGCCCGCAACCCCCGCAAGGGGCCCGTCTTCACGGATCCTACACGTAAACCTTTCCCGCTCTGGCCTATTACGAGTAAGGACGGCAAGGGCGCCAGCCTTGCCGAAGCCATCATTCCGCCCCGCGAGAAGAAGAGGAAGGCGGTGACGAAGAGGAGTGGCACGGCTACGGCTGCTGGTGCTGGTGTTAGCAAGGCCACCCGTGCGGCTACGAGCGCTCGTGCTAGTTCCAGTACGAGTAAGAAGGCCGATGCTGCCGCCGCCGCCGCCGCTACGGCCCCGCGCCGTCTCAAGACCATCGAATATCGCGCCGACATCGCTAATGGGAATTCTGCAAATAATAATAACACCACCACCGCCGCCGCCACTAGCAACCAGCTCGTCGTCTACGGTAGCGGCAGTAGTAGTCGCCGAGGAGAGTACGAGGACGCGGAGGTGGAGGCGGCGGAGCGCGAGCTCGTGCTGCGCGAGCAGGCGAGCGTGTTTTTATCGCTTGTGACGAAGGGGCCGGAGTCTGGGAGGGGGTTCTCGGTTCATAAGGCGTTGAAGAGGTTTCATCGTGAAGGGGGGATGTGGGGGAGTTCACAGGGAGATGGGGAGAGGGAGAGGGATGGTGCGAGGGGGAAGGGGAAGGGGAAGGAGAAGGAGAAGGAGAAGGAGAAGGAGAAGGAAAAGGAAAAGGAAAAGGAAAAGGATATGGAGAGAGGGAGAGGCAGGGGGAGGGGGAGGGGGAGGGGGAAGGAGGGGCGGGAGAGTAGGGAGCGCGAAAGGGAGAGGGTGAAGGAGAGGGAGCGAGAGCGGAGGATTGAGGTGGAGAAGGAGTTGTGGAGGGTGTTGAGGCTGAAGAGGAATGAGAGGGGGGAGATAGTTGTGTTTGTTTAAGTTATTCAATTTTTTTTGGAGTTATGCATTTCTTCCTTCGTTATCCATCTATCATCTCCATCTACTTGTTCGTGTTTTTTCATTTCACAAGACTCATTTCTTATTTATTTATTCCACTACTATCCCCCGCCGTCATCTTTCTTATATATTTCACTTTTTCCCACTTTTTGAGATTTTTTTCTCTTGCATTTCATTCAGCTTTTGACACCTTTCCCAGCCGGACTGGCAAGTGGCTGCTGCTTGGACGATTAGGATTTGGAAATAATTTCAGGGATCATAAAATCATGGATAATGATCATTATTGATGGGTCTGGTGATTCATGTGCATTTTTAGTTTTGTTTCCCTTGCTTTTTGGGTCGATATATCAAATTTTCCTTATTTATTTACATTGCTTAACTACCCCCTCTCTATCTACTTCTAGGCTTGTTTTGGTTTTGATTTCTTTTGAATGTCCGCTTCTTCCTTGGTGATTTCATACATAATATCTATGCTCCGTACCGCGCTAGAAAATGTCTTTGTCTTGGCTTTGCAGGGCTAAAATGATTCGTAATGAGGAAGTGATAATGATGGAGAAATTTTCTTTTTCTAGGTAATTGAATTTTTTTTTTTTTTTAAAAAAAAAAACCGGGCAATCATCTCCAAATCTATCCAGTGATAATAAATGAGACTTCAAGTACAGTTCGTTCGTTGCGTACTACGAGATATAGCGACCCTAACTTACACATGAAGATAGCAAGAGCTATTTATTTATTCCATTAGAACAAAACATAATCCGTATCCTCTATCGTATTTGCTCCAGGGACTCATGATGTACTGTACAGTACGTTATAAGCGTGATTGTATGTTAATCATAACAGGTAGCCGCGAGAGGGTAAAAAAAGGCATTGCGCTGTCATCATATGGGATGCACAAGCGGGAGTGTATGCGTACTGTTCTTGTGCAGTATTACTGTACAAAGTAAAACAAGCTGGGATATTCGGTCCCCAGTGGGCGATGGGGTATTAAGTGATGGGATAGTTGGAGGACCTTCCCTCTCTGCATCTCTTTAATACTGAAATTGTCTCCCGTGTTCCCGACTCTTCACTTAGCAATATGTATCACCGGTCCTCGCTGTTCACGCAATCCCATTTACACTCTCATTTGCATTCCCAATTACCTCCGCACTGTCACTCGCACCCTCACCACCAACCTCACCGGCACCATTCTCAGTTACATCTGGATGCCCCTTCTCCCGCTCCTCCCGCTCCTCTTTCTCAACCTCCTCCTCCCAATTATCGACAACATCCTCCGCGAACCCCGCAGGAAACTGCCTCCAACCACTCCCACTGCCACTCCCACCGCCAGAACCAGAGACAACCGCCCTTCCCTTAACCCTCCCCGCAATCCCAACCCCACTCCTCAACACCAACGTCCCCCCCTTCTCACCACCCAACACCCCATTCCCATTCCCAACCGCGCCAAACCCAAACGCAGATTCCGGCGGGACAGCCGTCGGCCGTTTCCTAGACGCAACTTGCGCCCACCCACCATCACCCGCCCCCGCACTTATAGCGCCGAAATCCCCATCACCGCTCTCGTAGACTGCCCGAATCTTCTCCGCAGCCGCGGCAGAAGCCCTTTTCGCCTCTCGCTCCCGCACCCGTTCCCTCTCACGCATCTTCGCGCACTCGCCCACACTCACCCCGCCAATCCCGACGCCCACATGCGCGCCCATCTCGGCCCCAAGACCGCGCGGCGGCACCCAGTGCGCGGTTTTGAAGACGGCGACGTGCCGGTGGGGTTCTGGATCGCAGGATTCGGATACGAAGCCCCAATCAGCGGCGAGGAAGTGGATGAAGGCGCGGAGCTGAGTGCGGGCGGGCGGGAAGCGGGCGGTGCGTTGCGTTTGGCTTGTGGCGAGGGTGTGGAGGGTTGTTTCGTAGGTTTGGAGGGTGGAGAGGGTGGAGGTTGTGGAGAGGGTTAGGTAGAGGTCGAGGGTTTCGGAGGAGTATGGGAGGGTGGTTCCTGTTGTTGCGGTCATGGAGTCCCCGTCAGCTGGTGTTGCTGATGTTGTGAGTGGGTCTATGGAGATGTTTAGGGCGGAGGCGAGGGAGCGGTTGCGTTGGAGGCGGGCGCATTCGTCGTCGCATTTTAAGGGGCTGGGGGATTGAGATTGTTGGTGTTGTTGAAAGCGGTTTTTGTCGTCTCGGGAAGCGTTGCAGCGTTTTTCTTGTTTTAAACGGCCGCAGGGGCATGTTATTGTGATGAGGGATTGGCATGGGGTTTTCTCCTGGCAGGGGAATGGAGCGTGACATGGATCGGAGCACGGGTGGGGGCAGAGCTTTTTGATCTTCCCGCATGCTTGGTGGCAGGGTTCGGTCGAGTCCTCACATTCCCCCGGCCGATGGCAAAGATTCTTACATGTGTGGGAGCCGCATTTGAGCTCCTTGCCGCATACAAGTCCGCATCGCGGGTCCGTTAGCCAACACGGTTGATTCTTCAATGCCTTTTTCGCACAGAGGCAGCGTTTCTCTGTCAGGAATGGGCACTTGGGGCAGCTCTCGTCGTCAGTGTGACAATTGTGAGACGTCTGCGGGTGTCCACATGATTTTGGCCTCGCACAATCGTAATGGCATGGAGGGGGTTGTGTCCCACATGGCAATGGAGGGTATAGGACTGATCGACCACAGTTGCAGGATATTTCCTCGAATATCGCTTCTCGACATGTACTGCAGCTTCCCTTGTGGCAGAGCTCCTGGCACGTATGTTTTGAGCATTTCAGCATCCTTCCGCACACTCGTGTACAGATATGCTCCGCTTCGATATCGTTGTCATTAGGGCGATTGACAATATTGAGCGACTTCAGCTTTCGCTTTGTCGCTTGTCGCTCAATTGCCTTGCGCTCGCCGGGGCAGCACCGCTCACCGCAATTGTGCCTCCCACAGTTCATCGTTGCTTTACACAGTCGAAAGCACTGAGGTGGTTCAATTACCCCTTGGTGGCACAACGATTGGAAGGAAGCCTTTCCACATCTGCAATTTATGGACACCCTCAAGAAACAAGGTGGACAGGGGCCAGTGTGGCAGGGAACGGGGCACTTATGCTGACAGGGAAGCAGACTCCCACATGGTTCCTTACAATTTGGTATGGGGTCTTGACATGACGTTCTGGGCTGATAGCCTGGAATATCAGATAAAGCTGTCTTCCCGCAAGCGCATTTTGTGATAACATCGGGAGAACTGGGACAATGTGGCACAGCCACATCCTGTGGATGGCACCGTTTCTGGCATCTATGTACTCCACAGTCGTAGTCGCGATCGCAGATCTCTTTACAATCAAAACAGCCTACCCATTCCTCTACCCTTTCTTCGGAAGTGCCCTTGCCGTGGGTGAGACGGCTCTGTTTCTCTTCATCTCGATTACTACACATAATTCTCGTCTCAGACTTTCCGCAATAACATCTCGCATCGACAATTTCCTCGCAGGCCCCGCAGAGGCCTTCATGACAAGGACGAGGACATTTGTGTTGGAGACACGGCAGCAACTCCCCGCATGGTTCCCGACAGCTCCAACCATTCTCATAATCAGTGTCAACGCATTTCTTAGTCGACTCGTGGCGCCCACAAAAACAAAACTGCGTTGGGCCCATAGCCGCGCACGGAGGACAAGGGCCTGAATGGCACACAGAATCGCAAGGGTGTGGACACCCTCTCCTCGCCCTGGAGCACGTTTGGCCACAAGAATGGGGCGGTAATCCCGGCAAAGGTCGCGGATCCATCTCTTTCTCGCACCAACAGTTGTACGTCGATGGTAAAATGTCGTGTGGCAAGTTGCATCCCGGGCAACGCCACTGTCGCGGGTGGTCTTGCCCATCCTCGTGGTCCTGCTGTTGCCTTGGCCTCGCCATTACCGAGCCTTCGTTATTCGACCATTTCTTTATGCAACTGAGATGGAAAACCGTCCAGCATAATGAACAGGACCATACTCTCGTCTTTCGACCAAGTTCGTTTGTGCATATGGGGCATTCGTATATCCCGTTGGCGATGTCCTCGTGCGTGCGCGTGGCAATGTCATGCGCCGTAGATTTTGCTTTAGGAGGCCTTGGTTGTCTCGTTCGTTCCCGGATGGGCGTAGAGGAATGAGAAAGTGTCGGTGTAGTTGTAGACATAGGAACTTGGACTCCAGGTATAAATTCCGGCGCACTGGGTCGTAGTGAGCCCTGCTCCCCTTGCGCAGAAGAACCGTCTCCTCTGCCATCTTTAGCTGTCTCTGGTGCTTCTCGTGTCAATTGGCCGCCAAATGATCTTCCCATCCCGGCCACGGTTTTCGTCGTATTAGGTGCATCACCCCGCCCTCTCCCTCTCGCGGATATTGTTGTTCCTGCTCCCGTTCCTGCTCCTGTCCCCGCTCCCCTACGGCTTGGCCCAACACCTCGTCTCCCTCTTCCGTGAACAAACGGCCGATTGTGTGATGTATCTACATCTCTACCGCTCTCACGGTTTCCTCCTCTGCCTCGACGACCTATGCGCCTAGAACCGGAATTATTTGGGTTCAAGGTCTCATCCCGCGCAGACGTTTGATCTAACGGTGGATTTTGTACAGTCAAATACTGCGATTGAGTTGCTGTGGTCGTCATAGTTGGCAGACGACTGTGAGATATGTGCCAAGCAGTTGCCCGCTGGAGAGGGTTCACCTCTTTTGTCCGCGCTCGCGGAAGATAGGGGGGGTTATATGGACGGTGAAGAATTAATCGAGATGATGCTTCGATGGTTTGCTGAATGAGAGCTAGTTGCGAAAATGGGTATCTTCTTCTGATAAAATAAAAAATTGCTGGACTGCGGCGGCGAGGGTGGGTTAGTCATTCCTTGGCATGACGTTGGGCGCTGCGCTAAATTCATATAGGCAAGGCTGGTTCTTTCTGAGTCACCTCCTCTGGAAACTTCATCTCTTGAAATTGTGGTAGGATCCTTATTCATAAGATCTTGATGAAAGATGCAAGTATAGTCACTCAATCCATCAAACACCTGGCCTTTTTCATCTGTACTTTGCAAAAAGCAGCTGTAATATTAGTACAGACACTCTGTCCACTGAACAGTTGTGATATATTGAAGCTATACTTTTTAAAAAAGGTGGAGATCCGTACAAAAACGACGAGTACACACAGCCGCACTGAACAGGCCCTAATTAAATCATAAGTTAGCCTCCAAACAAGCAGGGTTTTAGGCTTTGAGCGCACATTGGCCACTAAACTGCACTAAAGCCATAGTGGGGATTTCGGGTGCCTCGGCTTTGGCGGAGGGTTTTTTTTTTTTTTTTTTTAGCCTCCTGCCGATTTCTTACCTGTCTCCGGCATCCGAAATAACCTCTTAACCTCCTCAGTTGTCGTCACTTTACAATCTTCCTTTAGTTACAAACCACAGACTACCACAGACCACCACAGACCCCGGGAGGGAGCGCTCAAAGATCATCATAGGGAGCTGTGGTGTGATTCTGTGCATATTGTATATTTTCCCCGTCCAATTTTGCTCCGTACACTTACTTAGTCCTGATCCCACTTTGCTTCCGTTTTTCGGCGCATACACTTACTCTCCTTTGTCAAAGCTTTCCACGCAAAAAGCTGTCCAGTCCCGGGGCTATCAACTGTATTGTCCGCCGATCACATTCATTTCCTGTCCTTGCCGACCACCGTATTGTAACCGCCAGAAAGGCCGTTGTCTCCCTTCGACAGCGCGCAAGAGCCCGGTCAGCACCATAACACGACCTGATCAATTATAATTCATGCACTGTTTGACTTTCCTTTCCTCCACTCCTGCTCCGCCCGTTTCTTGAGCCGAAGAGTACAAGCCGCTGCCCGATTGGACCCCTGTATGAGAACTGGGCTACCCGAGCCGATCAGCGTTGCGCCCGTCGAGGTTAAACAGCAAGGGAACAAAGAATCCTTCCAGAATTCAGTAAAAACAAAATATAGAGAATTGGAGCTTTAGCTGCATAGCAATACGTTCATATAAATACTCCCCGGTTCCCGGGTCGAGGAGGCGGGGCTTCTTCCCCCCCTCCTTTTCTCTTGGACAGGATGCTCACTGGGTTCCTTGCTCTTCTCACCTCAATTGCCATCACGGTGCTGCTCACGTCGTTTTACCTCTTCTCGTCCTTTACGACATTCACCGAGACATGGGGTGCGAAGCTGAGTGGTTCTGGAGGAAACCCGGGTAAATATGGCAATTGTGGTGGGCATCATCATGGCGAGCTGGGTGCTGTTGCCTCTGAGAATCGGAATTGTAGCCGGCTTGGGGGGGAGATGTTGAAGATTGGCGGAAATGCGGCGGATGCTGTGAGTCTTTTTTTTTTTTTTTTTTTTTTTTCATATCCCCCTCGTTTCCTTCATTATTGGTCTTCTTATGTATTTCTGGAGTGGATTGGTCGTGTTATCTTGTCGCTTCACATCCTGGAGGGCTTCCAGGATTCCCGATCCCCGATTGATTGACATATGTTTCACCTGTATCTCGGTTGGCGGAGTCAAGAGTTGAACTGCGTGGATGCGTGCTTTGAAATGCTAAGGATATAAACTCATTCGGTCGTCTAGATGGTCGCAACCGTCTTCTGCATTGGCGTAACTGGTAGGTTTTTTCCTTCCCTTCTTTCATTCCCCTCTACAACCAAGGGATTCCCCAGTGAGTAGAAATGTGCCTTTGCTAACTGCGTGCTTCTCGTTCCAGCAATGTATCATAGCGGTATCGGTGGCGGTGGATTTGCCGTCGTGCGAACGCCGGATGACAAGTACGAGTTCATCGATTTCAGAGAGGTGGCCCCCGCAGCTGCGTTTGAAGACATGTATAAGGATAATGTGGAAGGGTCCATTATAGGGGGTCTGGCTAGGTATATGCTGAGCTACTCGATATACCCTACCAAAAATTTTCCTTTCTTACTAACCAATTACCCCACGACTACAGCGGCGTACCTGGTGAAGTTCGCGGTCTGGAATACTTGCATAAGAAATATGGCATTTTGCCCTGGTCAACCGTCATGCAGCCGGCCATCCGCACTGCGCGTCATGGATGGCCCGTCAACGAGGATCTGGTCCATTACATGGAGGCCGACACGGCTGGGGAAAATGATTTTCTGTCCAAAGATCCTGCCTGGGCAGTCGACTTTGCCCCCAATGGAGTCCTATTGGGGTTGGGAGATATCATCACTCGTCGACGATATGCTGACACGCTCGAGAAAATTGCCAAATATGGGGCTGATGCTTTTTATTCTGGACCTATTGCGCAGGCCACGATCAGAGCCCTCCAGGCGCAGAATGGGACCATGACCTTGGATGATTTGAAGAACTATACCGTTGCGATTCGAGGTATCTCACAGGTCAGCTACCGGGGCTACAAAGTGACCAGCACGAGTGCTCCGTCTAGCGGTGTTGTTACAATGAGTATCTTGAACATTTTGAATGAGTATGATGATTTCTTCGCGCCGGGTAACGTGAATCTCAGCACCCACCGCCTTGCTGAAGCAATGCGGTTTGCCTACGGACAGGTAAGCACCCCCTACTTCTACTCCCGATTCACCTGTATGGGGGCTACGTTTTTTCTGAATACTGACCCACAAGTACTCCCCATAGCGTACGCAATTAGGTGACCCTTCCTTTGTGAAGCGATTGGCCGAATTTGAAGATCATATGCTCAATGCTTCCACGGCCGCTATGATTCGAGCTAAAATCTCCGACCACCATACCCAAGACATCTCTGCATATGACCCAGAGGGACTAGAAAGTCTAGATACGTATGTTCCAGCCCATCCCAGAAGATTCTGTAGAAGGGGCGGACACAAAACTAGGCCCATGGTGCATTCGAACGAATAACTCACATCCTTTTCAGCCCGGGAACTTCCCACCTCGTCTCCACCGACCGCTCCGGCCTCGCCGTCAGCCTCACCACAACCATAAACCTCCTCTTCGGCAGCAAACTCATCGTCCCCGAAACCGGCATAATCATGAACGACGAGATGAACGACTTCTCCATCCCCAATGCCGACAACGCCTTCGGCTTCATCCCGTCGCCCGCCAACTTCATCCGCCCGGGTAAACGCATGCTATCCTCCATGTGCCCGACAATCGTCACCCATCCCAACGGCACGCTCTACTTCGTCACGGGTGCCGCGGGCGGCTCGCGCATCATCACCAGCGTCGTGCAGAGTATCATCAACGTCATTGATAGGGGTATGTCGGCGGCCGAGGCGCTGCGGGAACCCCGCCTGCATGACCAGCTTGTGCCGAATGTGTCGATGTTTGAGTATCCCTTTGATAACAGCACGGTGGCGTTTATGGCTGGGCGGAACCATACGGTGCAACACGTGCCACTGGGGAGGAGCACGGTGCAGTCGATCCGGGTGTTTGGGGAGAGCAAGTTTGAGGCGGTTGGGGAGCCTAGGCAGAAGAATTCTGGCGGGGTGGTTGTGTGTGGGGGTGAGTGCGCTGATTTTTGTTGAACTTGTAGACACCTATCTCCTTCCAAAGAAGATTTTGGACCGGTTATAGAGCCATCGTTATAATATATATACCCTTGTTAAAATCGAGGCGAACGAGATGAACCGTATTCATTTCTTTCATATTGGAGCTACCGACTGGGCTGCTCCTTTCTTAATCAGACAGTGATGGTAGTTGTTATAGTAGTAGTGGCGAGGACTCAACGTGGGGGGGCGCTTAGTCGGGGTGTCGGACGGGTATAACTATATGAGATTGGAGGACAACAGTAGCAATCTGTCGAAGTGGAGGACGGGCGAATGACAGGCTCAGCTGGCTGTATTTGTAAGGTATCATCCTAAGTAAATATCCCAAGGCCCGTCTAAGCGTTTATTGGCGGTTTTACAATAAGTGATATACTATCCCCAATATCACAGCTAGAATAAACAGCCGAAGCGGGTGACTAATGTTTGGGAGGCTTAAATCCAAACTAGGTTAACATGCCCCGGCCAACATAATTGACCTTAATAACGGCTCATAAGGGTTCACCATATTTTAAAATGAGGGTTTGAATAGCGGAGTAAATAAACCAATGGCCTATTTTCTAGATATTTTGAAGGCCACCAGCAGAGAAGGCCCTTGGCCCATATATATATCCCACTGGATTTGTTGCGTTCGTTTATCTGAAACGTCAAGCCACTGTGGCAGGGGGTATGCAGTCTTCCCCCGTCATTGGATGGCCTTCCCTCCACCTTGAGTTCAGGTTTAGGTTTAAGGTTGCCTGGAAGGTTGCGCGCAGCGTTCCGCAACGAGCGGCGGGCGCTTAGTTGTTGCAGGCATGGTCGGGAACGGAGCCATGGTACGCATTAACGGTTTATTTTTCCTTGCATATTAGCTTTTTGATATGCAGGGCTAAAAACAAAACAGAGCATTGAGCTCGCCAGGGACGGTCCGGAAGTTGGGTAAGGTTATATATATATAAAATGGAGAGAAAGAGCACCAGAATTAAAATAAATGGTGTATGCGACTCAAGCGAAGTTGAACCTCGGACTGGACTGCTGGTGGGGGCACCACGTGATAGGGAACCTCGACCACTGACTCAGCAAGCCGCAAGAACAAGCACCATCTTCGTCAACAGCCTTGGAATCTCCCCGAAATATATGGCCAAACAGCCCAAGAAGTCCCCCTATTTCCCCCAGGAGCGCCGAAATGCCGCTTCCTGCCTCCCGTTCCCTCCAATATCGGCCCAATCTTTCGGCTTGATCCAAGAGAAGCTCGCCCACGACCCGTTCCGGCTATTGATCTCAACGATCTTCCTTAATCGAACCCGGGGCGAAGTTGCGATCCCGGTTCTATACAGCGTCTTTGAGAGATATCCGACCGTCGCAGCCCTTGCAGAGGCGCAGGAAGAGGATGTTGTCGAGATGATACGCTGTCTGGGATTCCAGAATGCCCGTGCGCGCAAATGTATTGCCCTTGCGAAGCTCTGGATTGATAACCCCCCAGCCAAAGGAAGACGGTATAGGAAGCTACATTATCCCAACAAGGGCGACGGGCGTGATATCAAACCTAGAGAATGTGTGGAAGACGGTGACGCACGGGTTGCCTGGGAAATTGCCCATCTTCCCGGCCTGGGCTCGTATGCCATTGATAGCTGGAGGATATTTTGTCGTGATGAGTTGAGGGGCCTGGCGAGTGACTGGAAGGGCACGGAGGCGTCTGATGGATTTGTGCCGGAGTGGAAATCAGTGGTTCCCAAGGATAAAGAGCTGCGTGGGTATTTGACCTGGATGTGGCTCAAGGAAGGGTGGGAATGGGAAGTGGAGACGGGGCGTAGAAAACGGGCGAGCAAGAAGCTCCTCAGTGCTGCCATGAAGGGAAGCATTGCCGTTGAAACAAACGGCAGTTGGATTCTTGAATCTTCGATGGCGGAAACGTCAATATATTTTGAAAAAGCAATTCAGGATAAATGATAACGTAATAATTTTTTGTTCTATAAATATATATATATATGTCTTTCTGGATTTAGCCATGTTTATAAAAATCGTACTGATATTTACAATTTTGTTATTCTATTTGGCTACATATTACCAGAAAACCCAGGATTTACAGCATCCAAAGAAAAAGAAATGATTAATGTCTCAGCGCTGTCCAAGTCAACCAGTTCAGGCCAATGTTGGTGTGGTGATTGATGGATAGCCGAATCCGGTAATAAGCAACACAACGTCCGACCGAGCCTCATTGACCGTTTCGCCGTCCGAGAGATCAACCTGTATCACAGCCCAAGCCACTTCCGTAAAGGCTCCCGATTGGCTGTACGAACCCATGTTTGCTGTAGAGTCAAGCCGATTGAGCCACTCTTTGGGGAATTTCTAGCGCTTCTGTGCAGTCTTCCGTGCAACGCCCAAAAAACTCAGGCTCTTGTGTCGTCCGCTGCCTTGCGTGTATCGGCCATTCAGGCATTCAGCATTTCACGCTTGGTCCCGCAACTTGACTCGCTTGTTTAGACACGGGAGTCCCAGCTTAGCAAAGTTGAAGTCAGCATCTGGACGTTTCACCGACGCACCAACCAAATGCACCCCTCCGTCATCAGTCACACCCTTGTCCCTCACGTTAAACCCGAATCGGGTCTGAATAGAAGCCACAAGGAACAAGCATTTGGAGATTTGATGTTGAACAGATCGGTTTCTTAGTGGCTGGCAAAGGAATCTTCGCTACAAGCTGTGGATTACACGCCACAGCCGACGAGCCATCTTACGCCGGAGGGATTCCTTGTCGTTCCCTGGAGTGCGTCATGACCGTGAAAGACGATGACCGGGATCGCCCACGCAGGAGTCAGAGAGAAAAGGACAGGGAACAACGTCGCCCTCGATATCGCTCGCCACCATCGTTACTAGGGGATCCCGTTGAAAAGGAAGGAAGCAGACACTCTGATACCAGATACGAGAGACGGACACCTAGGATATTCCACAGAACAAGACCAAGCGACCCCGCCACCAGAGAGAGAGAACGGAGAAGGGCTGCTACAGGAGACCACAGGTTGAACTCATCAAATCCATCGATGCCCGCCTCCGACTCGAATTCCCGCCCCTCCTCTGCCTGCTTCCTGGAGTCAAAGCCCAGTTTACCGTATCCGACATTCTCCAAAGCGCACAGCAAAGAAGCGGTCGGGGTTCTGGGGAGCAGGGAAAGCCTTGGGCAACCTAAAGTGGACATCTTGACGCCCGAACCAACTGATCTAACTACAAGAGATGAAGCAAGTGGCAAGGCAAGAGGAGATGACACTAGTCCTACAGAGCAGGGGAAGGCATCACGACGGCATAGCACTCACCGCTCCCCACCAAGCCCCCCGTTAACGAACCTCGATCAACAGTCAACGAGGAGGGACAGTACAAGTGGGAACAAGAGATCAGAGGAGAAACGAAGTACAACAAAGAACCAAGATGAAAAGAAGAAGCATAGGCCCAAACCCATCTCCAAGGATTCTACCTCAAGCTTGCGGCGCCGCAAGTCAGATGAAGGTTCGAAAACGAGCAGCAGAGGGTCAGGACCAAGTACACCGGGGAAGCTATTGTTTGAATCTCTGCACAATCAGCACAACAAATCTCCAACCAGCGGAAATGCATCTAAATCAAGACCGCTCGGGAGGAGCAATTCAGCCAAACAGTCATCCCGCAGAAAAGTAAAGTCCTCGCCGGACCAGTCATCAGTAACACAAGTCGAAATTGAAGTTGTACCCTCCACTGTCGACTCAGATGCAACATCTATCGCACCGAATCAGCAATCTACATATCAACGACCCTCGATGACTGTGAGAGCTCCGCCTGAACCTCGCAGAACTCCTACGCCAAGAGGATACTCTTCCCCGAGGAAGCAGAGCCCGCCATCAGCACTTCACTCCCCGTCCACTGGGCTGCCCCCGCCCCCGCCTCCACCACCTAATGTGCCCATTACCATCCCGAAAGTGGACTATTTACTGAACAATGGTGGGCTCAAATATCATGTTCCTAGGAGCTTCCTCGGGGCGGGCGAGTCTGCAAACATGCCGCAGGATTTCTTCAAACCCGCTGCAGCTGCCTCAAAACTTTTTGAGCCATACAATAAGCTACTGGACGACTACGGGGCAGTTATATCGAAATGCGGATCCCTCGCCGTTGCTACAGGGTATAGATCGGTCGCAAGGAGGCTGTTGGACAGGTTGGAAGCCGTGTTTGCGCGAGATATTTCGTCTGAATCATGCCAGTGCGTCTTGTGTTCCCACAGCGAGGTTTCGCCAGAGGGAGTGAGCTGGGGCGAGGTTTTGGAGCTTGTTTCTGGTCGACAAGATCTACCGCCGTGGCCTCCGTTTAACATCGCTTCCCAACCGGGCGCCGCAGATATTACGGAATCAAACAGTGACGAACCCATGCAGAAGTTGGATATGGATATCCCAGAGGAGTTTAGGGAACACTTTGTTCGCCAGTCTAGGAAAACGAAGCATGCTGTGGATAAATGGCTTTCTTGCAACAACGACCACCAAAGCGGCAGCCCGCCTGAGGAAATTGATGACGAGACTCTTATGTTTGCAATGGTAACTTATTTGGACAAGGAGGAAAGAGAATTATTCAGTGCACTATTAGATATCTCAATGGGACCGCCAGAGCCAAAACGCGAAACTCCCAAACCACGAGATCGACCAGATGCCATCGTTCAATCCGGCGCTGCTATCCAACGACTATACAGGCTATCTGTCCCACCCCGTGACCCTGAAACAGCGCTTTATTTGCTGAAGAACCCAGGCATACACCACGTTCTAGCCACACTAGCAGCCATCAGCAGCGATGAATGGGACATTCTCATATCAGGACGATTCGACGGATTCCTCCGCAGCGGGGCCGACGACGACCTTCCCCAAACTTTCTCCGCCCCTCCCATCCGCGGGGCCAGACCCGGCTCCACCCGACCCACTTCCCAAGCATCCAACACCAGACTCCGAAACGTCAGCCAGCCGTACGGCGGTTCTTCATATCCATCCCGCACCTCCACGCCGGCGCCGGCCTCATTTGGCGCCCCGATCTACGTCGATGAGGACACTGAAATCGCCGCCCTTGCTGAAATAGAACGAGATATCTACCTGGGCATGGAAGCGCTGGAAGACGCCTTCGAAATCCTGCATGTCAAAGCAGAGGCGATCCGCGGTGCTCTTCGCGAGCGTGGCGCAGGCTTGCACGTTGCCAATCTAGCGCGGCGCGGGGGATCAGGCGGTGTTGAGGTGCTCTCTGGCACCCCTGCGGCCGGCATCGGGGGCTACGGGCCGAATGGCCACGGTGGGTGGGAGAGCTCGACGGATGACGGGATCGACGATGGGGTTTCGGAGATTCTGCCGTCTGATTCTGCAAGTAATATTAGCTCGAGTCGAAGGCGACGGCCGAAGAGACGGAATGAGAGGAGGACGCCGGTTGTTTTTGAAGAGGAGGAGGAAGATGATGATAACGAGATTGTTGCGACGCATGATTATAGGACGAGGAAGAAACATTAGGTTCTGGGGAGAGTTGTTGGGGGTGTGAATGTGTCCCGAGATGCCGCATGTAACATGCGGTGTATCTGTATTAACGAAAAAAATTATGTCATGGATCCCTTCCTTCGTTTCGTGTTTGTGCTTGCTCCCTTTTGACTTGATTCGTTTGTTCTTACGTTCCATTGCTACCGCTTTTCTCTCTCTCTCTCTCTCTCTTTTTTTTTTTTTTTTTTTTTTTTTTTTTTTTTTTCTTGTATGTGCATCTGCTATTTGTGATCATTTCTGCTCTATACAAGCTTTGCATGGCCGCTCTCAGCAACATCCCCATGTTAGAAAGGGAAGGAAAGAAAGGGGGAAAGAAAAAGCATGTCGACGCTTTACGATGACATTAAACGGCTTGATACCCAGTAATGGACTACTAATATGAAATGAGAAACACGATCATGGAATAAATTCAGCGGGCGGAAATGTTTAATGTATCTCCTGTCTTTTTCTTTTCTTTTCTTTTCTTTTCTTCTCCTTTCCTACTGTTATTTTCTTTTCTCCCGGCATCTATTCCTTATCTTTTATATTCCCACTTTATCTTTTCTCCGCAGCATGAAAATTGTTTCATACTTCATACTCCGAGCTTTCACCTGGTTCTGTAATTCAGCTTTATTCCAAAGTTTTACTGTCTCTCCTCCCATAACCATAAGATACCACCGCTGCCATCTCATACCCAAAACGCATTTTCTTCTTGCAAAAATGACCGATAGTTGATCAATAAAAGGGGATAGATAACATGGCATATACAGTATTGCCTGTTCACTCTAGCTTTTTTTATTATCATATGTTCCCTCTTTCTTTACGCCCTCTGAAGCCCCCCAGTGTTGTTTGCGTGTTCGTTTCCACATTGCCGTGACCAAAATAACACCCTCATGCCCTCTCCCCGCCCCTTTCTTTCCCCAGCTCATCAGGAAACGAACGGTTCATTGGACATATTTGGGATATGTACTGTATTGAATGCATGATTTTACCTACCCGAGTCAACGGTATTTTTCTTTTATTATTATTATTATTATCATCTCTCTATATCTCTCTATATATTAAAGAAAAACCAACTTTTCCGTGCAAAAAACGCTGTAACGTGACCTCACATGACGTCACGTGCACCCCATCAAAAATCCATGGATACGTAGTGGCGCCTGCCAATTGCACCACTCTATCTACCCCCTATCATCACCACCGCCTCTAACGCCCCGTAGCACCCCCTATTACTTCCACTTCATACCCCTACCTCCATCTTACCACTCACTCTTACCACCCCTACCACCCCTACCACTTCTATCACCTCTACCACTCCTACCACCCCTACCACCTTTACCACCACTGCCTCTACCACCCCACAGCCCCCCCTATCACTTCCACTCCATATCTCTACCCTACCCCCATCTTACCACTCACTCTCTTACCATCCCTATCACCTCTACCACCTCTACACTTCTTTTCACTCCGACCCCCCCCTTACCACCCCTTATCACCCCTTACCACCCCTACCACCCCTACCACCTCTACCACCACCACTGCCTCTACCGCCTCGCAGCACTCTCTATCACTTCCACTCTCTATCTCTACTCTCATCTTACCATTCTACCCCTCTCTTACCATCTCTATCACCTCTCCCATTTCTACCACCTCTATCACCCCTCTCTATCACCTTTTCCACTCTCTAGCCTCTCTATCATCATCATTATCTCTACTACTCTACAGTCTCTTCTATCACTTTCACTATCTCTACTTCTCTCTTACTATCTCTACCATATTTTGATCTCTGTGTTTATAGTATATACTGCTAAATACTCTGTAATAAAATCTCATGTGATGTTATATATATCTCTTTGAATTTATGAATGAGATTGAATAGCTGACTGTGTAGTCTGTACAGCTCTGATTAATCTGATAATGATAATAGAGATGATACAGAGTGAAAGAGAGTAGTAGAAGAAGTAGAGATGATAATGATGATGATGATGAGAGAATAGAGAGTGAAAGAGATGAAAAGAGTGATAACAGTGAATAGAGATAGAGAATGAAAGTGATAAAGAGGGTTGTGAGGTGATAGAGGCAGTGATAGTGGTAGAGGGGATAGGGGTGGTAAAGGGGGGGTAGAGATAGAGAGGTGGAAGTGATAGGGGGAGCTGTGAGGTGGTAGAGGCGGTGGTGATGGTAGAGAGAGTAGGGGTGAAAGGAGTGGTAAGAGGGTAGGGGTAGAGGGTGGAAATGATAGAGGGGGCTATGAGGCAGTAGACGCGGTGGTGGTGGTAGAGGGGG